CTGTTTTTTGATTACTTTTCACAAGAAAAAACATTCTTGTGTGATTTTATCGCATTTCTTAAATAATGGAAACACCGTATATGCAAAATTGTGTTTTTCCCCCCCAACATTAGCAGAATTTTGACAAAGTTTCTGTAATGGAAACACAGCTGAATGGGGGTGCACTGACCGAAGGGACGATCCGGTTGTACCACTTCAGCACCACATCGATGTGCTCCATCATGCACAGCAGGCTGAAGAAGCGACCGCTGCAGAGGAAATGGGGAGAGTTAGGAAGGAGAAAAAAAACAAAAATGAAGACAGAACGTATCAGAAGAGCCATTTCTGGGAACTTACTAATAGATACCCCTTTGATAGGAATCTCCCAGCAGCCTGCAGTTCTCCCCAACTTCCACCAGACTGTGAACTTTGTAACCCAGTTCCAGATCTTTACCGTCCAAACACTTGAAGACATTGGAGGTGAGGTTAATGTAGGAGGAACAGAGTTACAGCCCTAAATGTAATTTTCCTGTTTGGTTGCTCAAACTCAGTGAAAAAAACTGAAGTCTGATTCTACGCAAAAAAAAAAACAAAAAAAAAAAAAAGATCAAAACAAAAAAAAAAGGGAAAGACATTTAAAAAAAGAGAAAGTTTTAAAACTTACCATTTTCATTGCAGTGGAGAAAAACAAAACTGGGAAGAAATGAAAAAGAAAAGTTTAGAAAGGTTTCCTGTCATAGTATCAGTACAGATGACATCATTTCCTCTCTCAATCGCTCTGGCCTCACCATCATCAGGGTCCTGGCAGGTGAAGCTGGTTCCCTCCAACTTCGTCAACACATTCTGTAAGACGTCCATGCTGCTGGGCCCGGAGGAGGCTGCGGAGGAAATGTCCACTGCTCAGTAAGCGTACAAGAAGTAGCTAATGAACAGGAAGTAGCTCATAAACACCTGCCTCAATGAGAGCCAGACCTACCTGGCTTGGAGAAGACTGCCAGGATGTGTTCATAGGTGGCCAAGCTTGGAGCTGAAGGTTACACAGCGGAAAACATGGGTGAGGAAACAACATGACCCCATAATCGCCCGGAGGAAAATGGTAGAGGTGACGGTGCCGGTAGCTTACCGATTCCCAGGGCCTTCATCTCGTTTAGAGTCTGGGGCGAGAAGGTTTTAGCCAGGAAGCCACATCGCCTCAGAGCTTTGAGAACACTGTTGAAGGTGAGCAGGTTGGGATGAACTTTCTGTTCCTTCATCTGGTTCAGCAACTCCTACACACGCACACACACACACATGCACGCACACACACAATTTAACATTGAACATCTGGTCTGGCTGCTTCCTTCAGTTCTGATGTTAAAAATGTCTTTTTTTTATTAAAGGGAATCTGAACAACGTTCCACAGTTGAGGTGTACTTACATCGATGAGGTCCCATCTCTCGTTGAACTTCTCTTTGACATCAGGAACGGCTGAGATCAGCGCGTTGAAGATGTGGACATCAGCTGTGAATGCAAGAAAACCAACAAAAACTGTTCAGTTTTTTGGTGCTACGTGACTTTCCTGTCTGAATTAGCCCACCATTCTACCATTGTTTATTTATTTGAGTTTGTTTTAATGTTTCCCCCATTTTGAAGACTTTGCAGTTGGTGTGCAGGTATCAATCTTCCAATAACACATAATTGTCAAGTGATATTTTCAAATTTTCTGTCAACTTGAAATATTTTTTAACTAAAAAAAAAAGTGGCGGTCATCCAGCAGCCTGCCACCGGGTTTGGAAAGTTTTCTGGGGGAAACCCTGGTGCTAACAAGTATTAAAGGTAAGTCATGTTGCTAAAATTAGTTTCTTGCAACATGTCTAATGGTGATTAATCTTATTTCTTATTATAACCTGATAAAGTAGAGGTGGGTTATGTAATCAATAGAAGGAGTCCCAGAATTGAACCTTGGGGAACCCCACATCTGAGCTATCCTGGATCCAAGCAGATATTCGTGCAGTATTAGCAATGTGCTGCTTCCTTCTCACAGTGTGTCCTGATCCTCACCTGACAGTCTGTTGTTGAGCAGGTCTGCGTACATGTTGAAGGCCTTTGCGTGTGCTCCGTGCTGCTCAGAGACATAAACAATGAAGGAACGCTGCGGTGATGAAACGCGGCTGTTTGTTCAGCATGACGGACGTGAGCGAGGCGTTACCTTCACCATGCCTCTGATCAGAGCGGAGTAACACCGCGCGTCTCTCTCCGGCAGCAGGTTGAAGATCCTCTCTGCATTGTTGTTGTCCTTCCAGGTCAACTTCAAGAAGTTTGTCAGTCGGCGTCCCACGGGTTTCCACCTCCTGCCCTCCTTATCTCCCGCCTCCTCCTGAGTCAAACACAGAGACAAACCTCAGCACCCGCGCTCCGTAGAGCCGACCACGTCGCCCGGGTTAAGATCGACTTACTCTGGCCTCAGTCTTCGGTCCCCACTCCTGGACTGGCTCCTTGTCACAGTACAGACAGATGAGGTCCAACAACTTGTGGGTTGTCTCCATGGAGACTGCTGTGCCTGGAAGGAGCAGCATTCACCAGAAATGAAGCGGCGCATCAGTGGGAGTTCTTTTTAAAGAAACGTAATCGTTCTTGTGTGTGACCTCACCGGACTGCTGCAGCTGATCATACATCTCCACCGCGGCCGAGACCTTCCTCAGGCTGATCCGTTCCTCCAGCGCCGCCTCGCTCACCTCCTCCAGACACGGTGCCACGCTCTCTGGCATCAAACACTACAAATGCACACAAAACAGATTAAAAAAGTGTGCAAGTTATTGATTATTAACTTCCTCTACAGTTGATCACTATCAAAATCAGAACAACAAAACTTGTTTCAGTACAGCCCATCCAAACCATAAAGTAGAATAAAAATAAAAAAAGACAACATAAGACATGGGTAGACAGATGCCTGAGGCTGCAGGCGCTGACCTTTCGTTACATGAGTAGGACAACATGAATGCAGATGAGAGAAAAGAAATCATATCTCACACTGTGTCCTCACAGGAAACATGTGGGGTTGCAAAACCTAACAAAAAACCCCATCATTGATCGACTAGCAATTAATCAATAAGCGGTCTTTTCCTTAAAACCTTCCGTTTTTTCTAGAATCTAAATGGCCAGCTGTCTTTCCATGACAAAAAAGTTATATTTTTCAGACTACACTGAATAAAAAAAATTATTCTCTGCTTTATTTAATACTTATTGAACACAAAGAAAATTGTGGTTTTCTCATATTATTATTCTTGTATTATAGAATACAACAAAAGAGGAAGCTCATGGTTACTGAACAAAAAAATAAAAGATGAAAAGAATAAACTGTATGAAACACTTAATTTCCCCATAAACTGAGACATCTACATCAGAAGTTCTCTTTGCTCCACAAAGAGCTTTAACTCACAGCAAAAAAACTTGCATAAAGTGTATTTTACATCCCCACTGGTTCTGTTTGGACTGTTTCTGTATCAACTGGCGACGCTTAACAATGATCAATGGCGGCCAAACAACAACACTAAAAGAATGCTGAAGCGGACATTTTTGGAAATAGTTTTAATCTAATAACCCATCAATCGACAATTGATCGGAAGTTGATTAATTATTTGCATCCCTGCGGTTCTTACTGGTATATGCGGTTCTGCAAAGTCTTTGGTGAATAACTTGGGGTTGCAGTTGACAAAGTACTTGGCTGCAGCTCTGCCGGATTCCTGAGACAGGGAGAACAGATTCTGCAAAGAGAAAGAAGAAAAACAAACAACTCAGTGTCAGGTACTGTCCTCACTCATTTTTGAGAAATCACTATGGTAACACAGGTTGATATATCGAGCTAGAGCTCCTACAAACTCAGCGGATGTCCTGGGTGAGAGGTACGAGTCGTCCTGGAACTGGTAGGGATAGGCTGTTGGGTCCTGCAGGGAGAAATGTCCAAGCAGGATACATGAGAAACAACCAAATTAACAAACAGAATCAGAAACCAAAATCTTCTCCAGAGAGACTCTTACTCGTTGGACAGTAGAAGCCAGGGCCTCCAGCACTGCCTCCTTGCTCCTGTCAAGAGGAAGACGCAATACTGACTGTGCTAAAGAATGTAGTGATCAGAATAAAACTTTGTTTGTGATATATCAGACATACCATGATTTCTTCCTGGGGATGACTATCGCTTCTTTTGATTCTGGAACAGAGCAAAAAAAGAGGCTATTTTCACATCAAAAGACAACAGGAATTCAACACTGTTCTCTCCATTGACTTGCAATGGCTGCGGTGCATTATGAAAGTATTCGCACCCCTTAATCTTAACTGTATTTCACATTTGTTTTATGCCTATGTTTATGTTGCCCATGTTATGTTTTTAGAGACTTGAGTCTCCAAATCAAACTGCTGTGATTTGTTTACCTTTGTGAAGGTCGGTGGCTTGTTGTTGCAGAGCTGAAGTCCGCCCGAAACTCCTGCAGAGAAGCAGAACTAAGCTTTAATTATCTGGACACAACCAATAAAAGACCATAGTCTGACTTTAAGCTGCATGTGTTTAATCTGAACACAAAGCAGTAGTAGACTCGTAGGAGTAGTGATGTCAGTAGAAAGTCAGAGACGTGACCTCTCCTGTCGGAGGATGCTACTGCTGCTAAACCAACAACACACATGACGTCACAAGTCAGTGAAAGTAGAATATGGTAGAAAAACATTCACAAGCTCGCCCTACCTGCTAGCAAACAGCTGGTCGATGTTAAACCGCAGAAATCTTCCGTTTCTATGAATATGCTGTCCTACGTGCTTACAGGGAGCCGCCATATTGTTAAGCACTGAAGGCTTGTGGGAAAGGGACGAACCAACGAAAGAGGGGAGAAGAAATAACAGTTACAGGTTTTTCAAAAGTTAACACCAAAGTATAACTGACTTAAATCTGCATTAACAACCATTTTGTAGACCACATTGAAATATAAAGTGACTGTAAAGACTTAATTTCATGTGAATGCCCCGTGACATATGCGCGCGTGCTCCCCTCCAGTCTCAGCTGTGGTCTCGCGGTCCCACGTGCGAGAACAAGAGACTCGTGGGCTTCACGCGCAGCGCCATGAATTCACAACTGTAAACAACAAAGTTTCAGCTAGCATCCAGAAATGTTGTTTTCCAAAGAAGTGCCATGGCGGCGGCTGGAGGGCATGTCGTTCGGCTTTTACACAACCGAAGAGATAAGGTGAGGCAGGTTTAGCATGTTAGCTTCTGGCGGGTCAGAGTTCAAAACATCGCAGAAGCTCGTGGCTCGTAGCCTCCTGAAAGTGTCACATCGGAGCTGCTGCGGGGAGACTCATTACTTGTAGCAGCTGAGAATGCTTGTCAAATAATAAGTGAAACACAAACAAACTCCCCTTTGAGCTTCACACCTGTTTTACTTTCTGACCCACAAAGCTCAGGACAAACTGAGTAAAAAGTAACTGAGGATAAGTTGCAACATTTTTCCATCTCTTTTTCAGAAAGTTGAGCGTGAAAACCATCACCAACTCCAGGCTTCTGGACGGCGTTGGAAATGTGGCCCAGAACAGTTTGTATGACCTGGCTCTGGGGCCAACAGACACCAAAGAGGTGCTTTACTGAACACATGCTCAGTGATTGGACCTTATAGGAATCCAATTCTCATTTTGCATTTAAATGAATAATGCTACTTTGTTTAATGTTGTTGGGTTTTCCCAGATTTGTTCCACCTGCTGTCAGGATTTCAACAACTGTCCAGGACACTTTGGACACATCGAGCTGCCTCTACCAGTCTTCAACCCGCTGTTCTTTGATGTGAGCATCATTCAGTACACAAACCTGTACCAGAATTAGATCAACAGCTTTCACAAATATAGGTATATTCAGTTGAAGGATAGAAACATTGAGTGCAGTTGCTTATTTCATTTCATTTATTTATTTATTTTACAACATTCTGATTTTACAAATTTTCTTTCACTATTTTGATAAAAAAAACATAGTGTTGGAAAATATGTATTTTTTTTCTCCATTTTCCTACAATGAGAAATTGTTAATCATTCATAACTCTGCCGAAAAGAGTCTTACCTTTTATGCAAAATACAGTTTTAAGATTTTAAAACTATTGACGTAGTATTATTGTTAATTAAGATGACATTTTCTGCGTTCTTTAGGATTTTATGTTGGTGATCAGCACAAGACTGTGCTGTTGTTCTCTAAAGTACATACAGCTATTAAAGTCTAAGAGTTGTACAACACACAAAGATAAGATTTAGGAATAATTTTGAAATGCTTCCCCAAGAAATGTGACATTTTTTCTGTGCCATTTAAGTGAAAATTAAAATAAAATTTCAAGCAGGATTAATAATATTAATAATAATAAAAAGAAAACTGCAGCAAGCTGACTTAATTATAGATAGAAAAAAGTTGAAGAGGATAAAGGAGCGTAACTTTGGTTTTCCACTTTCAGTCTCCTGTCATTTGCTGCAAGTTTCACTGTCTCTGTTAGCCTGAAGTAAATGAAGACATATTTCAGTACATCATAGAAACTATAGCTTCCTTTTAAACATCTTCTTCCAGTTTTTGTGCTGTGATGTCACTGACAGAAGAAATATAATAGATAAGTTTTCTTCACTTAGAGCTTCTACACTAAAGAGTGTTGCTCTCAGCGCATCCTATCAGCTTCCGAAATGCTTCTAGCTTCAAATAGTCCAATTTTTAATGAATTAATTTCATTTTGTGTCTGACATGTTGTTCCTCTTCAGAAACTGTACCTGTTGATCCGCGGCTCGTGCCTGTTGTGTCACATGTTGACGTGTCCCCGCGCCGCCATCCACCTGCTGGTGAACCAGCTCCGGTTACTGGAGCATGGAGCCATGGTGGAGGTACATCTTGTGGAGAGCGTTCTTAATCAGGTGAGTTAAAGGAACATCTGCAGCTGCTGGGAAGCATCAGCATCCAAATTTCCACCGATTCAAATTTGAATCTGTTGACAAAATGATACCGGTAAGCTAATTTTTAAAAGTGAACCGGGACGTTCACTTTCCGTGTGTAGTTAACTAGTAACCATCGGAACCATAGAGATTTGCTATCAGACAAAAAATAAATAAATAAAGTTGATTATTGTTGTTCTTCTTATGTTAGCACCTTGAAGAAAACCCCAAAGCCACAGGAGACGAGATCGAGCAGGTGCTGAGGGAGTTCACCAGCATGGTCATTGGAGCGAACGCCGAGGCTTCACAGAACTTCAAACCTGTGAGTTTACTCCTCCACATAATCACAAACCCAACCGGACAGGTGGTTCTACTGATGATATCTCCCTGCGTCACGCACCGACTCCGCGTCTCTTCTGCTTGTTAGATTAAACATCTGGTGGAGAAGAAGAGCAGCTTGATAAACAACTTCTGGAAGGTCCACATGAACTCCAGGAAGTGTTCGTATTGCAGGTAGGCCGACAGAGACCCAGCCCGAACCTGAAGCATGACGTTCTGAACGGTGACGCGAAGTTCACCTCGTGCTACATGTTTATGTTTTACCCGGGGGAAGAGGTGGCAAGTCAATGGTGCGTCGCGAACACAACAGCAAGCTGATCATCACCATGCCAACGGGAGGACAGACTGCTGAAAACACAGGTGGGGGACTTTGGCAGTGCATAGTGTTTGAATTTACAGTTTTTTTTAGGCATGTTCAAGGATTTGTAGTAAAATGGAGGAAGATAACAGTACAGCTTAAATGAAGTTGTGGAACAGTCCTCCTGAAATCACTCCTGTTAATCTAATTAATACGTAATACATTATTCATGGTAGCTTTCATTTGCAGCTTTTTGTTTCCAAATAAAAATAATCCAAATTCATACCCAGTGACTAAAACCATGAACAAAATGATATTTCTTTCAACTTAAAAAGAAAAAAAAGGTTCAGCCTTTGCTTTTGATTATAATAGTATTGTTGACTTTTTGTCTAATTGAGTTAATTATTAGTTAAATATTTTGTTTTAATTTAGTTTTCATTGGCTTTAGTGGTAGTTTTAGTTTTTACCTAGTTTAGTTTATTTTTAGGTGCAGAATTCAAAAAGGTAAAAGTATTGTTTTGTGATTATTTATACATCGATTGGGTAATGAGGACTCAACAGATGATGCCATTTTCAAAAAAAATGTTTTCAATAATGATTGAACGATCAGCTGATTCTGGTGCTTTCTCAACTTTTTGCCATCAACACTCTTTGAGCATAAGCACCACCAGTTAGCGTATGGAGCGCTGTAATTTGTAATTACAGCGTAATTTAACTTGTGTGGGAGGAAAAAAAATAATTCAAAAGGCTGATGAATAGATTCATAATCACAAAAACTATGGATATTATATTTCTAATTTCAGTATGTTTGTTTCAGTTAGTTTTATAACCAGTATTCTTGTAGTTAGTTCAATTTCTTTCCAATAATTACCATTTTTATTTAACAAAATTGGTTTCTCAATTTCAGTTTTTTGTTATTTTAACTTCAGCTTCGGTTATTACAGCGAGAAACCGGCGATCAGACCTGATTTTTGGCTGTAGCAATGAGTCAGACCTGAACCTTCAGAGTCACATAAAGATAGTTACAAAATCAGCCTTCTGTCACCTGAAGAACATTTCTATGTGATAGAATCCCTAATGTCCCTGCAAGATCTAGAGAAACTTAAAAGAAAATAAAAGTTTTTATTAAATAAATAAAGAGTGTTCAATCAAGGAAATATGGAAACCAATTAAACTCTTCAGCCTAATTGTTTTCAGGCTTAGTTTGCAGTGGTCCAGAAGAAGCTGAGACATTTCAGTGGAGTAAGAAGTAGTAAAGTGTTCAATGAAGCAAAATACAGAAAGAAACATTTAGAACAAATAATTAATACAAGAGGATGGTGTCTGTTGCTTATAGTGAAAATGTTCTTTCTAGATTTCCGCTCTTATTTTGCGTGGCATGTGTTGGATGAGAATATTTCTCTCTGCTTACATGTCCTTTTTGTAGGTATTGCAGAAGATCTGATGGGAAAGAGAGTGTTTCTCATGGCCAGCACCGCTAGGGAGCACATCAGTAAAGTCTGGGAGAAAGAGGGTAAAATCCAACATTATTTAATCAATTACTCAAAATGTTTAGATTTCATTCTTCAAGACTCCTCGGGCTGGAAACCTGCTGTTCCTTTTTCATGGCTTGACAGCACTCTGTCTCTTTCTGCCTATGATTATGACTTTGATTTCTTATGACTAAATACAAAAATAAGTAGAATCACTGTTTGGTCTAGATGTTACTTTATATGATAAATTTTACAGGCAGTTTTATGCATTGTTACTGCTAAACCAAAATGTCCAGCATGGGGAAATGAGATGATCTCGCTTTATCTCAACACCTTTGATTCCAGGTTTTTTCCTGAAGTTGCTGTTTCCTGGTCTGGCGGAGAGCTCAGGATCTGAGGGACAGGAGGGTTTCTACCCCAACCTGTTCTTCCTGGAGCTGCTGGTGGTTCCACCCTGCAGGTACGCTGGCAGCACAACGAGCCGGCACGAAGGCTGACTGCAGCAATACACGCACCTGACCCGCCCTTTGTTCCAGGTATCGCCCCATTAATCGCCTAGGTGACCAGATGTTCACCAACGGCCAGACGGTCAACATGCAGGCTGTGATGAAGGACTGCGCCGTCATCAGGAAGCTTCTGGCTCTCATAGCAGGAGAGAAGCAAACTGAGGAGCAGGAGGAGGGAGTGGTGAGGGAGCGTCACGGCTTCCTTTTGGGAACACTTTATCTCAGCTCTTTATTTATCCTACCATTTGTTTCTCCTCCCCAGACGTTTGAGGCAGACGATCAAACGTTCCTGTCGGGAATCAGTGGAGCGACGTTACAGGATAAGCTCTATAACACGTGGAGCCGCCTGCAGAGCCATGTCAACATTGTCTTCGACAGTGATATGGACAAACTGATAACGGATAAATACCCTGGGATCAGACAGGTGTGACAGACTTAATGGCATGTAGGGGAAAAATGGGGCATGAACTAGGACATGTTTAAAATACCGCTGCAGCCAGGAATAACTTTTTGGGAGCGATTTTTTTTTTTTTGTTTGTTTGTTTTGTCAATTGGGTAAAAAAGTTTAAAATTCTGCAGATTTTTAATTTCACTCCTCAAGCCGCTTTCTATACAGTATTAGAAAAAAACATTAAAGGATGCAAATAAAAAAGTCCATTCACCTTTTAAGATAAAACCAAAGACTTTTCTGTTCCGGCCGGCAGATCCTGGAAAAGAAGGATGGATTGTTCCGGAAGCACATGATGGGGAAGCGGGTGGACTACGCCGCCCGGTCCGTCATCTGTCCCGACATGTACATCGGAACCAATGAGATCGGGATCCCCATGGTGACTAGATCTAGGTGGAGAGTAGCAACAGAGTTGTCAACCAGTTGATTGTTGACGTGTTGACGGTGTGTGTGTGTGTGTGTGTGTGTGTGTGTGTGTTGAGGTGTTTGCCACCAAGCTGACCTACCCTCAGCCCGTCACGCCTTGGAACGTGAAGGAGCTCCGGCAGGCCGTCCTCAACGGGCCCAACGTCCACCCCGGCGCCTCCATGGTGATTAACGAGGACGGCATGAAGACCATCCTGTCGCCCAGTAACGCCACGCAGAGGGAGGCGGTCGCCAAGCAACTGCTGACGCCCTGTCCCGGTCCACACAAGATGCCCATGAAGATTGTAAGTCTTGACTGGAAGCGGATCCACTGAGAGCTGCGACTGGGTTTTCACTCCGTCATGCTGTGTTGTTGTTGCCTCAGGTGAATCGACACATAAAGAATGGAGACGTTCTGCTGCTCAACAGACAGCCCACCCTGCACAGACCCTCCATACAAGCCCACTGCGCTCGCATCTTACCTGGAGAGAAGGTAACACCTCTTCTCTTCTTCTGCTCTCATTGCTATATGAAGGATCCATGAAGGAAAAGGTTCCTTATCCTGCTTTGTAAATGTGGAATCCTTCCTTCACATTGCCTGACTTCTTTTCTGTTTCCTTTCTTCCTGCTGTCTTCCTTCCCACCTTCCCTTTTTCCTTCCTTCTTCCTATTGTCTTTCTTCTTTTCTTTCCTCCTTCCCATTGTTTTCCTCCTTTTTTTCCTCCCGACCTTCTTTTTTGCTTCCTTCCTTCTGTCTTTCTCCTTTTCTTGCTGTCTTCCTTCCCTCAATTTTACTTTCCTTTCCATTTTCTTTCTTCTTTCCTTCTATCTTTCCTTCCTTCCTTTACTTTCTATTGTCTTCCTTCCTCATTTCTTGTTCTAGTCAGATCCCACCTGCTGTGTAAATATCTATCAATAAATTCAGTAAATTTCAGAACCATTGTAGTGAAACCTGTTAGGTCAGTAACCCTGTAGATCACATGACCAGTCAACCCTCTCTGTCCTCTGCTCCTCAGGTCCTGCGGCTTCACTACGCCAACTGCAAGGCGTACAACGCCGACTTTGACGGAGACGAGATGAACGCCCACTTCCCTCAGACTGAACTGGGCCGAGCCGAGGCCTACACGCTGGTCAGCACCAACCAGCAGTACCTCGTCCCCAAGGTGGGCCCCCACAGAACCCCTTCAGCACACATACATTTAGGCCTGCCTGCTTTTCACTCTCAGACCCTGAACTCCTTGAATCAGAGGGATGTGAATGAGTTGTTGGTTTCCTTCCCTGTTTGTGGTCAGGACGGTAAACCTTTAGCAGGCCTCATCCAAGACCACATGGTGTCAGGAACCAAGATGACCATCAGAGGCTGCTTCTTCACCAAGGACCAGTACACCGAGCTGGTGTACCGAGGGCTGACCGACAAGAAGGGCCGGATCAGGCTGCTGGCCCCCGCTGTCCTCAAACCTCAGCAGCTGTGGACCGGGAAGCAGGTGACCGCTACACACGACTCCTTCTGCAACCACAGAAGGAAAAACATAAAGAATATTCACACACATTTACCTTTGCTTTCACATTGCTATCTCACATTTTCACAGACTGGACTGGGACTTGATATGAGGGCTCACCAAAAATTCACCATTTTCTTAGCAATCTCATTTTAAGCAATAAATGCTTAAATTAAGTCATTTTTATCTAACTTAAAATGACTTCTTATCATTTCTCATTTTGGAGGATAATTTCTTTTAATAGGAATGAAAATAGAACAGTATTCCAGGGGTGGTGTGTATTTGTATTCCTCTCCTTTAAATCAGTAATGTTTTAACTCTTTAAGAGTTCAGAAATCAGTATTTGGTGGAATAACCAGGAGGGTTTCAGTGGGGTTTCAGTGCAGTGGGCTCTCCACTTTTTCCAGACCTGTATTTGTTACATCACCCTTTACTCCACCTCCTCCTCCTCTTCCACAGGTCGTCTCCACTTTATTGCTGAACGTTCTCCCAGACAAAGCCGTCCCGCTTAACCTCACCGGCAAAGCCAAAATCCCTGGCAAGGCTTGGATCCAGCTCCCACCTCGATCTTCTCCTGGGTACAACCCAGAGAGCATGTGTGAGTCACAGGTAGGAACACACACACACACACACACACACACACACACACACACACACACACACACACACACACACACACACACACACACTAGAGGAGATGTTCTGGAGCTTATCTGCGGGTTGAACTGGCGGCTTCACGGCGTCGTCCTGCAGGTGGTGATCCGTCAGGGCGAACTGCTGGTCGGTGTTCTGGACAAAGCGCACTACGGCTCATCGGCCTACGGATTGGTCCACTGTTGCTACGAGCTTTACGGAGGGGAGACCAGCGGGAAGCTACTCAGCTGCCTTGCTCGACTCTTCACTGCCTACCTGCAACTCTACAGGGGCTTCACTCTGGGTACGGTCCTGCCTTTAACTGTAATGGCTTCGATAGGGACACTATAGGTAGTAGATATAAACGCATTAGATTGAGTCATTCTTCTCTCAAGCCTTAACTCCGGGTCACCTGCATGTGTCTCTCTAGGAGTGGAAGACATTCTGGTGAAACCTGGAGCCAATATGCGGAGGAAACAAATCATCCAAGAGTCTCTGAAAATTGGCACCAAGGTGAGCAAATCTCCCCAATTTGTGTTTAATGCGCTGATCAAATCCTGCAGCCTTGTCAAATTCAGTGCTTCCTTCTTCCTGGATGCCACTGGCCAAAATGGCTGCCACAGTAAAGGTGCAGTTTATGGGCCCCACGGTGCTCCACATGCCCACTGGGGACAAACATCTACTGCACACAAACACTCAGGAATGCTGAACAGCGTTGGATTTTTTTTTTTCCTCACTCTCTTTTCTGAAAAAAGAAATTAGAAGCGGCAGAAAAATATTTTCAAAAAGTATTTATTTTAATCATCACTTCTGTTAGTTGTATGATGGATTATTAGGGTAAGGTGAGAATAATTCTCATTTGTGTAATAGCAGCAGAATGAAGATGCAATTTTACTAGAAGAAATGTCTTAAAATTACAAAAAAAGACGTGTATTGAAACATGAAAATATTTCATGTTGAACATTTCGTGTTGAGCTAGCAGACTGCTGACTGTCGGTACTTTTCGCCATCTTGGTTTGGACAATGCCTGTATTTCTCCAATAGCTTTAGGCTCCATTTTGCCGCCTTTAATTTTGCTGTATCTTTTAAGATATTAGCAAAAAATTTAAGCCCCGCCCCTTAAAGCTAACAAGTTACATCAAGGTTATTATTATGGCGCAGCATAGCAACAGGAGCGCTGTGACAGATAACACGTAGAAACAATAATTGTCTGCTAATGTGCGTAGTTTCAAATATTTAGCCGGTTCTTCTTCAAGCCACCAGCAAAGTATACTCATGAAATCCCCTTTGGTCCTAGTTGGAAAGTGATTTTCAAATAGTTTGTGTGTGTGCCCTTAGGCCCTGCAGGCTGCCTTCAACTTGCCTCCCAGCACGACTCCGGCTGAAGCTGCCAGTCGGTGGCAGGACGCTCACCTCAGCCCCGACCAGAGAGACTTTAGCTTGGCCGATCACAAATTCAAGGAAGTGGCCAATCAAGTGAACAACGACATCAACAAGGTTTCACTCTCCATCACCGGGATCAATAATGACCCATACATGTACAGCATAGGAATTATTCCAGTCTTTAGTCATTTAGATGTTAACTTTTTTACTATTTGTATGTCACATAAAAAGTTGTTTCCCTCATCTTTTCTCGTTTTTGCATTACTGTCTAAACAGACATTGAAAAATAGATTTTTAGATTTAGTTTAGACGCCAAACAAACTCTGAAATGATAGTTTTTAAAATAATCTTCACAGATTTTATTACATCTATATTTCTTTGTGGATTATCCTCTCGAGATATTTTCCAACATTTATTTTCTTGGTTTATTTTGTAGATATCAGTTTGCAACTTATTGCCCATATGCTAAAAAGTCAGAAGTCTTTAAAACTTAATTGTTTCATGATGAAATCCAACAAGTTCATGTACTCAGACACTAATGATGTCTTTTAAACTGATGGATTTTATGACATCTAAAAACTGTAGTGGCAGTTTCTAGTGTGACGCTGTAACAGGATGAAGCATCACCGCTTGGTGTATCAAAGTGTGTTTCAGTGACCATGTGTTTGTGTTTAGGTGTGTATGCCAGTCGGACTGCACACCCCGTTCCCAGACAACAACCTCCAGCTCATGGTGCAGTCTGGAGCTAAAGGTTCCACCGTCAACACTATGCAGGTGACCCAAGTTTGCTCTTATCTTTGTCCCGTCCTCCATTTTATATGGATTGTGAAGGGAAAAAATGCCAACCCTCTTTTCAGCGCACTCCTAGTTCTGATCCCGTTTGTTGCTGCTCGTTCCAGATCTCCTGCCTGCTGGGCCAGATAGAGCTGGAAGGCCGCCGGCCGCCCCTGATGCCTTCAGGAAAGTTTCTGCCTTGCTTCCAGCCATATGACCCTTCGCCTGGCGCGGGGGGCTTCGTTTCTGGACGCTTCCTCACAGGAATCAAGCCACAGGTTCGTCCACTCGGCTGTGGAGGTGGAGGGCGGTTTGTGTTTGGCTACAGAAGGACATTATAACATGCAGACTGTCAGATATGTGCAGGTTAAGTTGCATAAGTCTTAAAATTATGAAACTAAAATTAAAGCATTAAAATGTCTTAAATTCATTAGAAAAAATTTAAGATGGTCTTACATTTTTAATGTTAATGTCTCTGTAGTTTATTTTTCTCTTGGGACTTTTCTGTCTGGCAAACGTTTGAGTCGCACTCAGACATCTTCATCGTCTTCTGTGATTGAGGTTGTTGAAGCTGCAGCTAATTAGCTGCTAATACAATTTTACTAGCTAACTGTGTAGTTTGTTTTCCTCATGGGATTTTTCTGTCAGGCAGACATTTGAGAGGCATTCAAATATTTGTTTTTTGTGTGTTCTGTGACTCAAGATGGTTGAGACCACCGCTAACTAGCTACTAATATACCTTTTCTAACTAGCTAGCTAGCTTTTTTGGGTTCATTGTGGTGGCAAATTTAGCACCACTTGGCTCCACTACACCTGACACAAGTCTAGGTGCTGCCTCTGAAAAAAAAGGCTTGGTACCATTACTATAAAAATATGCTACTTTGTTTTGTACATTTCTGTTGTGATTTCGGTCTTTAATTTAATTAATGGTCTTAAAAAGTCTTTGAGTTGGTGAAACCTGCAGAAACCTTGATGATTGTGATGTGTCTCCAGGAGTTTTTCTTTCACTGCATGGCTGGGAGAGAAGGACTGGTGGACACGGCTGTGAAAACGTCCCGATCAGGATATCTGCAGAGGTAACTCACCTTTACACAAAACCTCTCCTGGTGTAAACGGAGCAAATTTTAGCCTCATCATCAGCTGGCATTGGGAAGTTGAAGTGGTTGTAAATGAGTGGGATTGCTGTGCTTCTTCTTTTCTTCATCTGCCTCATTCTCCCTCCCACCTTCTGCTCCCCAGATGCATCATAAAGCACTTGGAGGGTCTGGTGGTGCAGTATGACCTGACCGTCAGAGACAGCGACGGCTCCGTGGTCCAGTTCCTGTATGGCGAGGATGGGCTGGACATTCCCAAGACCCAGTTCCTGCAGCCCAGGCAGTTCCCATTCATCGAGAACAACTACGAGGTGTCGCAATAAACACAGACACTGACTGGCTTTCTGTGGGGAGGCTGGACTCTTGATTTAAAAAAAAAAAAAATGTTGCTACTTTTTGGAACTATTTTGCCATAATTTACTAGCATAATTGAGTGGTTTTATTTAATGTCGTCTTGTTGATGTTATTCTTAGAGATGTACAGCAAAACCAACTGAGGTCTGCTAAAAGAGATTTTTACTTCCAACCATCTCTGATGGCTGATCAACTGATTGGAAATGAATAATCCCATCTTTTTTCTTGTCAGCGAACGCACCGTATCTAGTCACTAATGGCTGACAACAATTCTCTTTTATGGTAAAGTTATCATAAGAAGGGCTCAAAGTTGGAAATTTTCACTATAAATTGCAGCGTTTAAATTACAAATTTTATTATATATCAAACGCAATTAATGATCTTTGAACTACTTCCTGCTCTCTTCTTCTTTCCAGCAACATCTGCTTGTTGATAATCTGAAAGGTGTTTCTATTGCAATTTTGTGAAATGAACAAATTTTTATAAAGGCTAAAAACAAAAGCCACTTCATGCTAGCGCTAAAAGTTTTCATAGAAAAACATTATTTTTACAAAATTTGGCTTGTTTATTTCAATTTATTTTTTAAATATCAAAATGTGCAATGATGTGGTCAACGTAAACGCTGCTATGGAGGCGTCTTTTCTACATATGTTGACCTTTTATTCAATATCTCACTTTATCCGGGACTTAAAAATCAGAAGATAAAAGGAGGCAATGCTAACCGTGCTAATAACTGTGCTACACTCTGTTCTCTTGGCGTCTTTTTCCCAGTGGTTCACTCACCTAAACACAGAGTTAAAAAACAAACCGTCCATCAACCACAGAATACACAGCTTCATTAAAACTCAACTTTAATTCTGTATTTAACCGTTAAAATTAGCTTCATGTCAGCTTTTCCCCAAGACATGGCTCTTCTTTCAATGTCCACTTGGCAGCTTTGATATTTGTACAACCTGCACTAAATGCAAGGAGAGGTTTAGACCAATAAACTCTACAATTTTGAAAGAAACATAGAATAAAAAGAAGATGAAGAAAAAGAAAGATACAAGGAAATGAAAAAGATTTAAAGATTTATTGATGGAATATCCAGAATCAGAATAGCATATAAATGTTGTCATAACTTTAAATTTGGCTTCTTCTTTCTTATGACTATAAAATATGTTTTCTGTTCTTTCTTCTTCTCCTGTTGCTATTGTCACAGTTGAGCATACATTTTTAATTTGAAGAATCCTTTAAAACTTCCTTTGCTTGTGCTTTCTGTTTCTCCTCAGGTCATCAGGAGGTCACAGGACCTGGACAGCGTTCTGGCCCGTTTGGACCCTCACACTGCAGCCCGCCACTTCACAGCCATCCAGCGCTGGAAAGCAAAGAGAGAGCTGGCGTGTCCCCGGAGAGGTATACGTCTCTAAAAAAAATATTTTGATTACTGCTCTATTTGATTTTTTTCCATAAATTTTGGTTTGACTATGTTTTCTGTGCCAGGTGCCTTTCTACTGTTTTCCCAGAAGAAGTTAGCAAAACTACGAGAGGCCATCCCGTCAACTGAGCCGCTGCCCGCTCAAGATCCTGCAGTGCTGCAGGTAAAAGTCCGTTTTAGTTCGACTTGCTGCATATACGGTGTCGTCTTGAACCCTTTTCTCTCTCTCTCTTTGTCTCCACAGCTGGTGAAGGACTGGCACTCTCTGGACGAAGCCAGCAGAGTCAAATACACCAGGCGGTCGTCCCGCTGCCCTGAGCCGACCCTGGGCCTGTTCAGGCCCGACGTCTGCTTCGGGTCGGTGTCGGAAAACTTCCATGACATCACCGAAAAGTACTTTCAGAACAGAGGTAACGCCACGGAGGACGGCATGGAGACGCAGAGGTACTGAAACGCAACTCTTCTTTTTGGACAGTTGAACCTCGCATCATTATCCTTCCACCTTGTAGCTTGCACTAGTCTGAGTGATTCTAAAATGAAGAAAATAATGGCTAATGGCTAGAATTAGATTCCTGCTTGATTGTGTCTCCTCTGCTGTAAAAGCAGCTGAGTGACGTACAGTAATGAATGACTGCAGGCTGCGACAGCTGCTGCACTATAAGTGGCAGCGCTCCCTGTGTGATCCGGGGGAAGCTGTGGGCCTGCTGGCAGCTCAGTCCATAGGTGAGCCCTCCACCCAGATGACCCTCAACACCTTCCACTTTGCGGGCAGAGGAGAGATGAACGTCACTCTGGGAATCCCTCGGTAACAAACCCTCACACTCACAACGCTTTTGTGTCTGTTGTTGTTGACGTCTCATTTTAACGAGAGCCAACTCGTGTCCAACCTTCCAGACTGAGGGAGATCCTGATGGTGGCCAATTCCAACATTAAAACCCCCATGATGAGCGTCCCGGTGCTGAACAACAAGAAGGCCTTGAAGAGGGCCAAAACGCTGCGGAAGCAGCTCACCAGAGTCTGCCTCGCTGAGGTCTGAGGCCATCACAGTTCTGTTTTCTTATCAGTTTCTCTTCCTCTGTTACCAGTTGTTTTACTCATCTCCTCTGCTGTGGTCTCTTTCTGTTCCTCCTTCATCAAAGCCCAATCTTAATGCAGCAGCCCATCGCTTTTAGGGTCAGAACTAAGACATGTATTCAGTTTAGCTTGAGATTACATTTAGGAAGGGCTAAAAGTATCTGGCAGTGAAGTGTAAAATCAACTTTTTTCTAATGCTATTCCCTCATCAAAAACATACCTGGAGTGTTGCCTCGATTTTTTCATGTATGCTTCAGAAGTCCTTTAATCTCCATGGCGACCGTTCAGCTGTGCTAAAACACCTGGGTGAACCTAGCCCCGCCTTCGAGGACGAAGCTCCTCTCAGAGCTGCAGTTTCCCAGCTACCGAGCTTCTGCCTCACAGGGCAGCATTTAGCAAACCTCTGGTGGAACTGCTGAGCTCATTTTAGGATCTACTAAAAATGTTTCTAAAAGAGGAGCCATGTTGTGATGACTTCTTGAAGGTAGAGTTTCAGAAGACTTGTTCTTAAAGAGGCAGAGGCCCAATTTTAAGGTGTTAAATTAAAAAGTCAGATTTTTTTTTCCAAGTCATGTTTGATATTTAAAGCATTTTTATAATTACAAAACTGCACTGCATACCTGGGAAATACACAATACTGCCACTTTCATTTATCAGGGTTAGAGATAAATGGTGTGTGTGTGTGTGTGTGTAGGTGCTGCAGAAGGTGGACGTTGTCGAGACGCTTCGCATCGAAACTAATCAAACACTGCAATCGTTTAAAGTCACCTTTCACTTCCTGCCTCCGGAGCGTTACTGTGACGACAAACTGTTAACTCCCCATCAGATCCTCCACTACATGGAGACGAGGTGTGTGTTCGCATGTCAGGAAACAGTCGGAGCTCACCTGTTTGTCTTTAACCCCACCTGCTCTCATCCACCTCCTCGTCTACTTTCAGGTTTTTCCGTCTCCTCCTGGAAGCCATTAAAAAGCGTTCAGCCAAGCTGGCCTCCATCGCCGTGGAGACGAGGAAGGCCACCTATGGAGATAAAAACATGGATGAGGATGGGACCGCAGACGACCAGGTTTTAATTTAGTTTTGTGTCATTATTTTTCAGTGTTCTCCCTCAGCCTCAGTCGTGCTTGAGCTTTTATTTTCGTTCACGTTCCGCAGGACGGTGGTGGAGAAGAGGAGGAGGAAGGAGAGATTGTCGATGACCAGGGGAATGAAGGAGACGCTGATGCATCAGACGCCAAGAGGAAAAGCAAACAGGCAGAGGAGGTAGGGCTGAGGCTGAAACAGGACTTGTTCGTTTGTGAAACGTAATTTCATGAATTGAGGTGCCTCCCCCAATGTCAGACTTTCTTTAACATTTTCCAAAATGAGTTTCAACTTGGTTGGAATGGACTGTACTCCCAGAAACTGTCATCCAATCAGGACACGAGCAGTACACTGCAAAAACACACAAAGTCTTATTAAGTGTTTTCAATCTAGTTTCTTGTGCAAATATATTAGTGCACTTTAAATAGGACAAAATTAACTTACAAAGTGCTTTTCAGCAAGATATTGCAGCTTGTTTTGAGTCAATTTTTTCTTAATATTGGATCATAAATTACTACTTCCAATGGTGAATTATTTCACTTTTAATGTGAAATAATCTGCCAATGCAACAAGAACTTTTTCATTAATACTGAGGAATTATCGACTTAAAAACATGCTCTTATTTCTTGCTGGAAAGTGACTTGCTAGTCCAGGCTGATAATTCACCTTCACTTACAGGTAGACTACGAAAGCGAAGACGAGGGCGAAGGCAGCGATGCTGAAGAGGATCAGGGTGAGGAGGAGAACAGCCAGGCAAACGCAGCGGAGGAGACCCAACCAGAGTCAGCAGACACTGGAGAGCAGCAGCAGCAGGAGGAAAAAACAAGAGTGAGGCCAAGTAGAGGCTCCCTGGTCCAGATGAGGGTGAACTCAGTTCTGTCTTCTAACTCGGCCATACAGAGATACTCCTTCGATCAGCAGGAAGAACTCTGGTGTGAGGTGAGCCAGGTTGCACTTTAGAGAATTACAGTAAACTGCAACAAGGCTATTGGTCCATATTTGTGCAAAATGGTATACGTACATAGGAGTAGATATGTAATTAATGACTTTTCTTTAATGTTATTTTGAGAATCTGCTTTAAACTACACTAACAGGAGATTTCAGGTGCATTCTCTTATGATTCATATCTCAGATTTTCTAACATAAGCCAGTGAAACGGCTTTAGTGCATGCTTTAAAAGTCTTAAATTCATATAGCTAAAATGAAGGCATTAAAATGTCTTAAATTCATTTTTAAGAAAAATAGACAATTGGCCTTAATTGCAAGTCTTAAATTTTGTCTTGACAGAACTATTTAATCTTGTATTAAATGTATATTTGTTTCTGGTGGGACTTTTCTGTTTGAATCAGACATCTTCATTGATTCTGTGATTTGAGACAGTTCAGGTAATTGTAACTCACAGCTAACATACCCTCGCTAAGTAGCAAGGGTATAGCTAGCTACTATTTCAATGTTAGCTAGTTAGTTTTTCTGTGTCTGTTGTAAGCCAGTTGGCTGGACAAAGTTTGTTTATTTCTGTGGAGATCTTTCGTTCATCATGGTCTTAAAAACTGTTTTAAATTCGGCTCTAGAAGTTTTAAATCTGAGACATTCGGGGGGAAAAGCAAGAAAACCCCCTGAAGTCAGCTTTCCAGCTGGAACTGGAATATTAGAACTTGCCTGCCTAGAACCGTAAGGTTTGAGTCCAGAAAGGCCGTCAACATACTGAATATAGTGAAAGGTGCCTGGTGTGGGTTAGGCCCAAAGTTTGTTCAGACTTGAAACTGTTCTGCCATTATTTTCACTCATCAGTTCCGATGTTCTAACAACTTGTACGAAACGTGACCATTCACACAGGTGGAGCTGGAGTTCCCTTTGAACAGGGTCCACTTCGACCTGACCTCGGTCCTGTCGACTCTGGCCCAGAACGCCGTCATCATGGAGACCCGAGGCCTGACGCGGTGCCTTCTGAGCGAGACCACAACCAAGTCTGGGGAAAAACAGACGGTTCTCAACACAGAGGGCATCAACATGCACGAAATCTTTAAGTACAACGATGTACGTCGGCCGCATTCCACACAACCTGGAACTCTTATTCCATAAATTATGCCACACTTTGACTCACTTTTGCACTGAATAACAAGAAATTACACAGTAATCTAAGAAGCATATGTCGAGGGATATATATGAATGAAATAACCTGAAGTTACAGCTCAAACATTTGTACTAAACTATATTCCTAGAAAAATGTTTACATTTCCACTAACATCTTCAAAACAAAAACAATCTGGGCTCAAAGAAAATCCAAAAAACATCTCCCCTCCCTCTCAAACAATGGATTTGTCCAATTGACAGGAAACACCAGGTCCTTATCAGCACTGCTCATGGGCACGCTTCCATGGCAACACATGACCAGGTGACCTGAAAGAGAAGAGAGAATGAATAATGAAGCAAGTGACTTCCTCCAAATGAAAGTAGGAAGTACAAAACACAGCAGCCGTTAGGGAAGCAGTAAATCGCTCACAGGTGGCATGATCTGTTATTGATTATCAATGTGATATAAAGCGTCAACTTTTTCAGACATTTCTCTCCATGTATAGACAGGTTGTATGTTATTGTTCACAACCAGAAATTTTACACATGTGCACAACACTGAAGGGCGATGAGATGATTGAGATGTTGCAGCATTAACTAAATTAAACCTGGAGATGTAGCATTATTAATTCAGTGCAGTGAGTCACAACAAAGGTATAAATAATGCAGAAAAACCACTCATTCTTCCATTTCCTTGCTCTACACCTGCTCTGCCGATGATCTGTCAGAGAGTCGGTGTGTGGGTTGCCTTTCCTTTTTTTCTAATTGAACCGAAACAACAAATTTTCCACAGCACATCTACATGTTAAGGTTGTCAAAGTCAAGTTAGCATAACTGATCTAACTTAGCTACATCAGCTATGCTAGATTTAATTACTTTTTTTTTTTATTAAAATGTTGTAGTGTTGACAATTAGTAGCAAAGAACTGCATCCCATTTTCTTTCATATGCCATGCTACATTTAATATTTAGCATGTTATGTTGACAACTTAACAGCTAAAGCCAATGGTAAGCTAGCACATTTTGCCCTTCAGCAGGGCGATGGGGTGGGGATCTTCCGTGCCTGACGTCACACTGCAACATGTCTATATTAATATTATAATCTGATCAGTTATTGCATTTTCAAGTTAAGTCACCATTAAAGACTTGATAAACACGGTTTAGCATTATCAATAATAATGCTGACATGAGGATATCATGTCAACTGACTGAAATCGCCAGCTGAACAGAACTGGTACAACCTGATTGTTGGAATTAAATCAGGTTGTAACAACTAAATACATCTTTGCATAAATGTGTTTAGTTGTCACATGATCAGCTTGTGTCTCCAGATCCTGGACATCAACAAACTGTACTCCAATGAGGTCCACGCCATGGCCAGCACCTACGGGATCGAAGTGGCTCTGAAAGTCATAGAGAAGGAGATCAAAGATGTCTTTGCAGTTTATGGTACAAACACACACGCACACACACACACACACCCCCACCCCCCCCCCCCCCCCCCCCCCCACACACACACACACACAGCTATCCTCTAATTCACAGCATTACTAAAGTCTAAAAATGTCTAGAACTTAATTATTTTCTAGTCTGGATCAGGTTTGATGGAATTAAATTGTTTGTATCTGACTTTTTCCATCTATCCACTCATCCATTTGTCTATTATCTGACTACCTTTTTCCCTCCTTTCTTCCTTCGATTCTCCCTTCCCTTCTTTCTTTACCTTCTTCCTTCCTTTTGTCTTCTGTCTTTCTCTTTCCTACTGCCTTCTTTCCTTCCTTTCTGTGTTACTTCCTTTTGTATTCCTTCTTTCTATCATTCCTTCCTTTTTGTCTTCTTTTCCTTCCATAATATTGCATTCCTTCCTTTCTTTCTATTACCGTCCTTCCTTCTTATTGTCTTTTTTTTGTTTTTTGCCTTATATTTTTGTTTAGCAGATTTAATGTGTAAAGTCTGACCTCTACAACCACATCTGTCATATTTATCCTGAAAGAACCCCCAGTTACGTCTGAAAATTTGAGTGTAGAAAACTCTGTAACGTTCAATAAAACGTGCAGAACTCTTAGAGCACCTGGGTCTAAGATTGTGACCCAGTATCTCTGACCCCCGTCTGCAGGGATTGAGGTTGACCCCAGGCATCTGTCGTTGGTGGCAGACTACATGTGTTTCGAAGGCGTCTACAAGCCGTTAAACCGACACGCCATCATGTCGAACTCTTCCCCTCTGCAGCAGATGACCTTCGAGACCAGCTTCAAGTTCCTCAAACAGGCCACCATGCTGGGTAAGAAATGGAGGGAAACGATTCAACAATGGACCTCGAGTCTAATTTGATTTTCATACTTAAGGGAAGAAAATGGCTCCTGTCTTTACGCATGTAAATGACATTCCTCCAGCTTTGGTTCACTCGTTCCACTCGTTTACAGAAATCAGCATGCTCAGTTTCTTTCTTAGTCATTGAAATCTTTGCTCTATTTTTTCCTTTTTTCACTAAGTGCTATTATTCTTATTCAGGGTCACATGATCAGCTGGTTTCTCCCTCGGCCTGCTTGGTTGTGGGGAAGGTGGTCAAAGGTGGAACAGGACTGTTTGAACTGAAGCAGCCTCTGCAGTAGGACGAGCCGCTGGCAACTGTTTGCGTGTTTGTTGATCTCGACCCTGCAGCTGAAGCGCCATTTGTCTGGAAAGCAGGCGGGAATATTATGTTCAACAGGTTTTTTAAGAGTACCTTGCAAACCAAATGTCCTGTTATAAAAGGTTTGATGTGGAGATTAATGTAACCTATTAAAGCCTTCCAGTTTTTTTTACAGGATAATGTTTATGCTTTTAAGCATATATTGTATGATACAGTAAATAAATAAAAAGTTCCTGTTCAAAACTTTTTAAACTGAGACTTTACTGTCATAAATAACATAATCGTTTAGAAGGCGGCCTACATCTCCACTGTTTCCCGTATCTAATGATGTACAAAGTAACAATAAATCTTAATTGTTAGCGGTTTTACGTGTGAAGAATAATTTGTAACTGCAGAAGGTATGTGTAATATGAAAGAAAGCGGAAGTGATGGGTGATGCCCTGAACCTGATTGGCTGGTTGCGTCAGAGTCCTTGAAGGGTCTTACAGATGAAGACGGATTCCAGGCTAAACGCTGCCGGAGCCAGAGAGCAGCTCACTTTATTTCACGGAATGGGGCCATGAAGAACCACCGGAGTCCATGCGAGAGTAAGGACACTTTTAAGTAACAGAATGAGGGAGCAATCTATGAGAGGTAGGACGGGTATAAGTCCATAAAGGCCCGTAGCGGACGATTGTCGTAAAAGGTAACTATGGCTACTGTAACCGAACAGCAGCTCCTTTTTAATGTGGCTGGATTAATGTCTAAACATTTTCAAAACGAGACCTTTTACCGCCTCTTGACACTGGTTAAAAAAACTCAATAGTCTAAAATATCTCGCTTCTGTTTCACTCGGATGTTAAAGGAAGACGTAAAGAAAACGAGTGACTTCGTGGTGTAATGATGTAGCTGCCGCGATCTGAGCGTCGTCCTGGAACTCGCTCGCGAGCCCTTCGCAATTTAAACTGAGCCGAAACGCACCGAAACACCCGTTACAGACTGCGCCATTATCCCCCTGCCTGCTGACAGACCCGACGACTAATTCATTAAAAAATAGAGCAATTACAGAGAGATTTCACTAAACAAAATGGTTCTCTGTTATGTTTTATCATCTTAGCCATTTAAAAGTGGGCAACAAGATGAAGCTACAGTTAGCATTGGGTTCAGGCCTTCAGTCAGGGCTTTAAAAATAGATTTTTATGATGCTAAACCTCATTTTAGTTCAAATTGAATCTTTATGCTTTGCATGCCTACCTATAACGGAATGGAGCCTATGATTTATAGAAATTATAACTTAAAGAACCTAGTAGGTGTTCTGGAAGAAGCACAAATCAAATCAAATCAATGTGATTGTCGTGTCGTGTTTGGGACAAGCACAATGTCTGTTGTGCAGATCACAACCTGCGTTTTAGCAGCTTTGAGGCTGACTGAAATCTGACTCCTGTTTCAGCTTTGTCACATATGTTTCTATGCAAACTGAACTTCAGAAATAACCATTCTAGAAAATTCAATGGCAAATTCTCAAAAACCATCTACCAGAGGCTAGAGCAGGAATTAAGACTAAACTTAGAGTTTAAATGAAAAATATTCCTATTACAGTTTTACTTTCACCCAGATCAGATTCAGTTTATAAAAAAAGTCTCCTAGCACCTTTTTTCCACCCAGTTATTAATCTGAAGTAAAAATATTGGCCAATATTCATTGCATTTCAGGCAATAAAATGTATTTCTTTTGTAAAAAGTTAATTGAATTATTTGCATGTTCAATGTTTTTGTCATATTGTGTAATTATAGACTTGAGTAGCTTAATGAAGAACCAGTAGAATAACTTAACATAAGTAATCCATTACCTGTTAGTCACAGCTCTAAACTAGATAAGTATTTTAATGCCTGAGGTGATAATCATTGCCTTTTCTCTGCTCAGCTTACACATTCAAACCGAAGCTGACAATCATCTGATCCCAGACACTGGGGAAGCAGGAGGCAGAAAATTTATCCAACCACCAACCCTTTGAATGAGCTCACATTAGCCACAGAAGCTCCTCTGTTCTGGTAGTCTGTGTGGACGAAGAGAAATACTGTGTGTGTGTGTGTGTGTGTGTGTGTGTGTGTGTGTGTGTGTGTGTGTGTGTGTGTGTGTGTGTGTGTGTCCAGGACAGGATGCCTTAGAGCCAGAGGGCTCCGAGCTTCAGCCAGAAGATCCAAGGTGACAGCTGGATCCACGGCGGATGACAACATGAAGCCTTTCTTGCACCGTCCAGCACACAGGTGATCACTGCTCACTCATTCATATTGTGTTGGTGCCTGTGGCTGAGAACATCTCTCTTTGGTGTGTAACATTAGGAAAAAAATTGATATTGTCAGTTGGACCCAAACAGAAATATGTCATTTCCATTATTTGCATGTCGTCACACTTTCCTTTAGCTGACATGTAATTTTTTGCATGTCAGCATAACAACAGCAGAAATGTGGGTTCAAGAGCAGAAAATGCAAAAGTAAACAGCTCCAGACCAGTACTGTTTCCATCCATCATCTGATTTTTCTGCTTATCCAAGACTTGGTTGCTGGGGCAACAGAGCCAGAAGGAAACCTCCAGACATCTCCTTCACGTTGGCTTTGTAATTTAATGCCTTGAAATTGGGCCTCTGTCTCTTTAAGAAGCTTCTGCTCTTTGAGAAGTCATCACAACATGGCTCCTCTATTAACGCTTTAACATTTTTACCAGCGTTGCACTGTGAAGTAGCTCCTATAATGATCTCTGCTGATGCTCAGTTCCACCAGGTGTTTGTTAATTTCTGCTGGCTAGTCTGAAGGAGCTGAGAGGGGGATTGGCGAGGAAGGCTGCTCTGTGAAGTGAAAGTTTGAAAACTGTAGGTCAGAGGAGGAGCTTCATCCTCAAAGGCGAGGCTGAGTCCAATTAGGTGTTTTGGACAGCTGGATGGTTGCTGAAAGTTTTTCTCAAACATGCTTGAAAGAATCAAAGTTACACTTCAGGTATATTTCTGATATAATGACATTGTAACATGATGTAACTCTCCAAAAAGGCAATTTTACATAAAACTGTCCCTTTAACTTATCTAAGCTTTAAAATTATACAAGCACAAAAAAATAAATAAATTAATACATGTAATATGTATGTATTAATATGGTAAACCGTATTTGGGGACCCAAATCTCTTCCCTTCCGTTTCATAAAGAGCAAAACTCCCAACCTTTATTCTCCATCCATTGTCTTTGCCAGCTTACCGTAGCAGGGTTGCTCCATCACCACACAACACAGAAGCTGCATTTCCATAAAACCATAGAAATTCACTACTTGGACGACAGGAAGTGGCAGGATGATTGTTTTTGGCTTTGTTGGACGATGTTCGGTGCTCTCAGCATCACAGAGTCCATACAAAGTCATGTATCGCTCTTCTGGAAATGGCCGACTATATTTTTCCCAAGATGCCACATGCATAGCCACTCCCAGGAATAAGAGGCTTGTTGCTCCGACGCCTATATAAGACGCTGATATTGATTCTTATGATTCTAATGGGATCTCAGCTGCTCACCTGAAACTGTGACTCAGAGGCTCAACTCTGAAATGTCATCAGAGACATGAACACTCTTCCTTTCTGCTATCACTTTTCATGTTTGTCTTTGGCTTAATATTTTAAACTGTTTAATTTTCTTTTTCCATTTCTCTGCAGGCAGATGTTGTTGGGACTTATTGTTCTGAGTTGTCTAGTTTTGATGATACTCTCCCTGCTGCGGATACACACAAGAACAGAGGAACCATATCAGTTTTATGTCAACTCTGCACATAAACGGGTGAGGGAAGCTCAGCGGAGCACACTGGAACCTCTTCAAGCTTTTCATGACAAGAGTTGTCTGGATTTTCAATCTGTTCTTCAAAAGCACCTTGTTTTTTATGTAAATAAGAAGCAATTTCTGTAGGATTTCTATTAGAGTTTTCCAAAGTGCTCAACTGCAGCTCAAGGATACTAATATGGCCCATCCAGCACAAGTGATGGATGCAGTCGGAGACCTTTCTAATTATTATTTGTAGTCAGTGTAAAATTATTTCCAACATGATTTTCTTACGATGGAAAATGTCAAGATCGGTTACATTTGCATAATGAATAGAACCGCGACTATCCTGAGGCTTTGACTGAAAAACCAACTTCGATGCTCGGAGATCAGCTTTTATCTGATTTATCAAACTTGGCTCATTATAGCAAGTGTTTCGAAAGGAAGTGACCCAAATCCTGTTATCATATCTGAGAGGAAATTAGCTCAATTGCGTCAAAAAATAAAAACTAGATGCCTCTCTTTCAAAAAAGCAACATCAGCAAAATCCTTCTTAAGTTTTGGATTAAAGGTAAAGATAACTTTATTTATATAGCACATTTACAGCAACAAGGCAATACAAAGTGCTTTACAAGATGTTTTGGAGAATACATATTACTTTTAGCTAAATCATGCTGATATTTGATTTCTGTTTGCAGGTCAAATGGAAGTTATTGTTTGCAGTTATTTTTGGATGATAGTTAACCTGGGACTAAATGACACTTGTCTGTACATCTATCAGTTGTCCTGTAATCTGCAACCATGCAGGTGTTGACATGAAGAGAGACGGCAACAAATGGTCAACAGAACTGCACCTGCGCTTAAGATGTCATAAAACACACAAAGTTCAAGTCCTTTAAACTTTTAAAAGGCATCTAACACTAAAAACCATTAGCGTCGGCTCATGACCTCGCGTTTTACTGGCATTGGAAACACAACAAAGACAAAATAAATTAAGTCATGTTCCAGATTTGCTGCGGTCTGAGTCGTAATAAAACACACAAAAGCAAAATGTGATGTTCAAGGACTGCAAACCACACGAAGCATAATGTTTATCCTTCTGACACACGACACCTCCCTGGATATGTCTTATGTCTCAGTATTCTTCAGTATTATGTAGCAACAAGGCAGATACTTGTACAGGTTGTGATAACAGACTCTTTATTTGCCTGGCTTTGTTTCGCCCTGCAGCTGGTGCATGAGAACGCACGGCGCGTTCTGGAAGGACAGTGTCGCCCCGGAGGCAGCAGAGAGAAGCTGCTCACTCTGTTCCCGTCTGCCAGCAGCGCCGTCCAGCCCTTCCTGTGGAGGGACCAGCCGCTCCCCGCCCAGCTCCTCCTCTACCCGCCGCCGTTTGGCTTCAAAGGGCTTAAAGACAAAGTCGAGAACCTGCTGACGCTGGTGAATGAAAATACCATCTAGGGAGGTTTTACTGATAACTCAGAACAACCACAGTTCAACTTGCTTGGTTTCAGTTGTTAGTGCAACACTTCCCATGAAGGAAGCTATAGATATCTGAGCATTAGCATCAGCTGATACAGAAAACCAATGCTGAATTGACTGAAAAAATGTACTTAAAAAAAAAAAAACAGACATAAATTTACTAAATTATGCATTTATTAGCTAAATCTGCACAAGTGCAGCTCACTTATATACACCAATGATTTCAGAAGCTTGGTCTCCATGTAAAAACAAGACGACTTTAATTTGTTCATTCAGTTCAATTAGCAGTAGAAGAGCAAATGTAAAAATAAAGGATAGACACTGAAACTGATTAAAAAACGATAGGTCTAACCTTTTTTAAATAGTACATAAAGAACAATCAAGGATTCTAGATATAATGCTAAAATACATAATAAAGGAAGATGGGATAGAATTGAACTTAATAGATCTGCTCTTATTGATCAGGCACATGGTACCGATTCCTGGTCTAGAGTTAGTTTTTTTCAGCATCAAGGCAAATACAGATAATCTCAGATCGATATATCTTTGGTGAAAATGTCAACTACTGAGGAGAACAGGCATATTAAAAAACAAAAGCTCACAAGAAACCAAACAACCAACATGCACATATATTGTATATTGGTTTATTGGGTCGTCTTGGGTTTTGTTGTCTGCAACCTCAATGGATTCTGGTTAAAGCCGCAAAGTCTCTCAGAACGTCAGACCTGATCGGCTCTCTGTGCTTCCAGCTGCCAGCGGCCCACCCTGACCCGGGACCGGAGGAGGCTTCCAGGAAGTGTCGCCGCTGTGTGGTGGTGGGGAACGGTGGCGTGCTGAAGGGGCTGGAGCTCGGTCAGCAGATCGACCGTTTCCACACCATAATCAGGTCAGGCTTCGCTTTCACTTCTCATGGTTCTGCAATAGACTTGACAACATGCAGAGTGACTGGAACTGCACTCAGATTGAGACCTCCTGGTTTTTGTTTTCTGTAGCAGTTGGGGCTGTAACAATTAATTGATAATTGCAAATAACTGTCAAATAATTTAGTAGTACATTTAATATCTGGAGAGTATGGACAAAAAAAAAGTTCATTTGCTGAAAAAGCACAGAGCAGTAATTAAATCAAAAACATTTTGCATTCAAGATTTAGAAAAAAACTTTTTGTAAAAAAAAAAAAAATCTGCTATTAAGCTACTTTTGCTATATTATAATGATGTTTAGTTAAGCATACGTTTCACATTGATGTTAAAAGTCTAAAATGATCAATTGCACGTCAAAGGAATGCTGTGGTATTGCATTTTTTGCAATAAAATGCTCATTATTTCAAAAAGAAATTAGTTTATTTGCATCGTTTAATGTATAATAAATGTGTTGAGACAAAAAAGCAAATTTTTTGTCTCATTAATTGATAATCGTCAGAATAATTGATGAATCAAATAAACATTAGGTGCGCCTCTAATGGTAACAAACTCCAATCTTGCTCCTGTTCTAGGCAATGTTTCCACTTTCTTCTCCTTTCTCTGTCTGTCAGGTTGAACAGCGGCCCTCTGGGAAAGCACACAGCTGACGTGGGGAATCGAACCAGCATCAGGATGAGTTATCCTGAGGGCACCCCCCTCTGCTGGATGGACACAGACCCTCATTCTGTGTTCGTGGCCGTGATCTTCAAAGGCGTTGACCTCAGCTGGATCTCAGCCATGATCAGGAAGCTCAGCGTGGTGAGTGGCTGGAGCGTTATCTTTATCGTTTTCTTGTTCTCTGTTGTTAGCAGGCAGGATAAAATCTATATATTTTCATATTCATCTGCTGTATGTAAATCTGACCGACAAACGTAGTTTGGTTAGATCGATATCTAGAAGTAAGCATTATTCATTTTCCTTTTTTATTTTTCCCCGGTCAAATACTTTCTAGCACGTCTAACGTAGATCAGCAAGAGGTTTCTGAGTGTTCTATCGTGCTTACCCAAAATGCATAAGATTTGTGTTTGGGCCGACCCAGTCGTGTGATGTTTTGCCAACGTGTGACGAGGACGCCGTTTCCTCTTTAGCGATCAAAGTGCTGCTTTGTATTGCAGACGTTTTGGGAGTGGGTCTTCTTCTGGCAGAGGGTTCCACAGAAAATTCCTCTAGATCCCTCAAGGTTCCGACTTCTGAATCCTGACGTCGTCAGGCAGACTGCCTTGGACTTCCTGGAATACCCTGAGCCTAGGTATCGCCTGTGGGGCTGGGACCAGGTACAGCTCAGTTTGAACCATTACCTGAGCAGTCGGGGGGAGGAAAAACGGGATAACACCTGGATTAGGTTTTTATTTAAAATAGCTCTAAAACATTCTGTAAAAAAAAAAGCTTAAAGTGATCAAAACATTAGTAGTAAAATCTGATCCACTCAGGATTACCAGCTGTAGGTGGGTGAAGCTCTTCAATCTGATGTTCAGAAAGAAAGTTGGAGTGCAGTTTTGTTTTAAGAGGATTTAGATGTACTGTTCAAACACTGCAAAGATTAAATCAAAAGGCATCATCTGTCTTAACATTTAGTCTCTGCAGACCTCATGCTTTCTTTTTAAATGAAGACGTATCGCCCCCTTGTGTTATGTTTTGTGAACTGCGGCATTTAAATCAAAGTCATTGCACAGAAATGATGTCACTCATTCAAAGGTGCGTCATAGCCTCTTCTAGCACACAGGGGGGAACAAAGTGAGCTCAGCCAAAGAAATTACATCAAGACTGAGTCAAAGGTGCTGCTAAAAGCCAAATTTCTCTTGATTTTAAAATCTCAACAAATTATTGACTTTGTTGAAACACAATATGAAATTGTAGTTTTCATTTAACTTTATCTCCAAATGTAATATATGGACCGCAGCTAAAAAAATTTTTAGTAATTGATTATTCTGACAACCGATTAACTGGGGGAAAAAAATTAGTTGTGGATTTTGCATTTATCTAGTTAAGCATTTTTACACATTATTTAATATATAAATTAAGGGAATATTTTATTGCCTAAAATGCAATTACGTAGCATTCCTCTTGTGATTGTTGATTTGTTGCAGTTTTTTTTATTTTGAATGCAATGCATACATTTCAGAAGTTTAACAATTAATCGTTGACAAAATTAGTTGAGATTTATTTTTTATAGTAGTGCATTAATCACGATTAGTCATTTCAAGCCTAATTTTATGCTTTTGTAGAATTCCCCAAAAGGCCATTTAAAAGTGATAAATTACAAATTGTGGAGGAAGTCCTATCTTCAGCTCCATGTCCTCCTGCTTCAAAATATCAAGTATTTAAAGTTAAACAAGAAACAGACTTTTAGTTTTTCCACTACAAAGGAGTTGTGGCTTATGCTCATACATACATCAGTGTCAGAGCTACCATTGATAAACCCATAAAGATAATTCACTAGAGTTTAGGTCAGTTCTGTAAATCATGTTTCACATTTTTAATCGGAGTGTACTTAAAATTGAAAGCACAGAGTGGATAAAACATGAAGGGTCTCCATTTCCTCGTAGAATGTACCGACGCTGGGCGTGACTGCACTGAGCTTAGCCAGCCTGCTCTGTGACGAGGTCAGCCTGGCGGGATTCGGCTACAACCTGTCCCAGCAGGGGGCGCCGCTGCACTACTACGACAACCTGCCCATGAGCCTCATGCAGCAGCAGAACATGCACAACGTGGACAAAGAAACTCAGTACCTGCACAGACTGGTGAGAGAGGGGGTGGTTAGCGACCTGACTGGAGGAATCCATTGCTCCTTCTGCTCCAGCTGACCACATCCCAAGGTCCACCCCATCCCAAAGGTGTTTCACTGCACCACAAGCTCTGTTTTTGAAACTTTGCTGAAATGCATGAGCAAAGGACAATGAAGAACGCAGAGATTTTATGCTTTTATGGTCTTAATTTATACTTCAGTTTCAGATCTCCTGACAGATATTTGAAGCTGGCTTCAGATATTTAGGCCCAAGCAGCTAAGCACTGCGAAGGCCTATTGTTTCTGTACTGTTTCTTATTATGATTCTCCCTCCAAATGAATTGGCTTTTTGGGGGCTTTATCATATTCAAAAACTCACCAAACTTGGCGGAGGCCTTAAGCCTGTTTCAAATTTACGTATTTTAAAGTCGTCGCAAAATTGCAACAGAAATGGCTCAATAGCGCCACCTAGAAATTTTCAAAGGACCCTTGCTATTCACTTACTTCATCGTAGAGACATGAAATTTGGTACACTTGTAGAGCTCCCCAAGATGCTCAAAATTTACAATTAATGTCATAGTGCAAGTATCACAGGAAGTCAGCCATTTTGGATTGAAGGTCCAATTTTCACCCCATTTTTGGCGTTTACAGCCTTCGTATTTGATCGAACTCCTCCTAGGGATTTCAATTGATCGGCTTCAAACTCGGTCAGTCTGTTCATAAGGCATGTCCCATCTAAAGTTATCAAAACGGTGAGTTTTTGAGTATGCTGAAGGGGAGTTAGCAGGGGTCAAAGTTCACCTACTCGCCGTAAAAAAATAAACTGCTATATCTCCTACACAGAAACTCACAGAGGCACCAAAGTTTCTGTGATTGATCATCATCGGGTGTCCTACAATACCCTATGGTCGAATGATGACATCACTTAGGCCACGCCCCCTGAGAACAGGAAGTGTAATGTTTTACTTTGAAAGGTTGCTATCTGACCCCTTTGACCTCATCAACATGAAACTGTGCCCAGAGACAGAAAACACGGTGGTGTGTTGAGGATTCCAACCCCGACCAGCTTTGATGGAGCAGGTGGCCGTGGCGGCGTGGCGAAGTGACCTCTAACGCCATCGCCATACGTTTGGCTCTCAATTCCACATTTTCGGGCCCAGCTGCTCCAAACTCACAAGGATGGATCCTCATACACTCCCTTACAGGAATCCATCACAATATTTGTAGGGCGTGGCGTAATTTCTCTCTAGCGCCCCCTAGAAAATTGGGGGCAAGTTAACATATTAATTATTTAAATATACATTAATATAAGTTTTTTTAAAATATAAGTTTGTTTTGTGGGTTAGAGTACAAACATTCATTAATTTTGGCTAGAAATAATACAAACATCGTCATTCAGCAAAACGTGTATTCGCCACTATTCTCACTACACAAATGACAGCTCCGCTGAGTAACTGGGGTCAGTGTTGATGGAGTACCACTGCCCCCTGGTGGCGCAATACAGGTACTGCTGGCGCAATACCTGTATTGCGCCAGCAGGAGGCAGTGGTACTCCATCAATGACAAAACAGACCGACAGTGGAAACTTTTCGAGCGCGTTTGCCGTGAGATTTCCAGCGCGGCAGGTGCAAAGAGCCCATTGCTGTTCGTTTAAAAAGTCGTAACTCGCGGTGCGGTGAGTAATTTATTCCTTCCTGCTGGTTCTGGAAGCCGTCATGTTTGGAACAGTTATTCTGAGGAGGATGCTAACCCAATGCCTGAGGCCTGCAATGTTTTTAATGCTAACGAAGCACTTTACTAATTCAATAAACTGAATAGTGTGTTTGATACATCCAGTTTCATACATTCAGACTTGTTTGTTATTATGTATAGAAGATGTTTAAAATGTCGTTTGAAAGAGCTCTGAGAAAATGCTAAGTATCTTATTACCCATCCAATGGGGTTGTAATATTTAGTTGCAGCACTTCCTGTGATTAATACCTAATTAATGGATGGGATTCAGCCTGTGCTATTGTTCTAATGTGCTGAAAGTTAACTGTGCTCTGTTAATGTGCATTGCCCTTGGTTTATTACTGAACAGTACGGTTTATTAAACTGATACATCTTAACCTTCACCATTTTCCTGACTCATTTCACGATAACGTTAAAGTTGCACTGCATTTAGATCTCAGTTGTAGTTCACATCAAAGCATGTGGGTGTGGCTTAGTGTAAAACTTTCACTATTTGCCATGAAACATCAACATTAAATTACTTCCAAATGCAAGATCACAGCTGCATCACACTTCCTCTGTCTTTCTAGAGAACAGATTTCCATGGTCACTTGATGACCTCACTGTAGCCCCGCCCACTCTTAAGAGGCAGTCACATGTTTTTTCTGCTGTATATTTTACTGTTATTCTATAATTTATATGGGTTTCATCATGTGAATACTGACTAAAAACGATAACATAATGAACTCTATGAATGCTGGCTGCTGACCAACCGCATTGGGGTGTAGAAATGACAAAATGCATTCCTTCGCCATGTGCATACGATCGGCTCTGAATGACACGTGGATGATCCCACAGGCGCCAAATTGAATACGTATGACCTTTGTTGACCTCTAAAGAGCAAAACAGCATTGAAATGTATTTTGACTCCACTGCGCCCCCTACATTAATCCGCCAGCTATATTTCCTCGCTAAACCAATGAATCTGCCCCACATTTTTTTGCATCGTCAAGGAGCGCCGCCGAACGCATCGATGCGTACCGCCTGGTGGACGGGCGCGGAAACTGCACAACAACTTCTATGTTGGAACGTGGGAAGCGTTGATGGAAACTGAGCAACAGCTTCCGCAGTGCGGGCGGAGGCGCTGAAAACTGCGTGAGAGCTTCTGTGGTGGCTGGCGTCAGGCGGCGGTTGCTTGTACCCCGCGGTGGCCAATAGGCCGGAGCGGCGCTTGGCTGCGAGGGCCATTCGAGGCTGCTTGCAGCTTTAATTATTATTTTGCCCCCCTAATAAGGGGCCTTTTTGGAGGCTTTATCATATTCAAAAACTCACCAAACTTGGCGGAGTCCTTAAGCCTGTTTAAAAATTTTGATTTTTAAGGTCATCGCAAAATCCCACAAGAAATGGCTCAATAGCGCCACCTAGAAATTTTCAAAGGACCCTTTTCTATTCATTTACTTTATCCTAGAGACATAAAATTTGGTACACTTGTAGAGCTCCCCAAGATGCTCAAAATTTACAATTAATGTCATAGTGCAAGTATCACAGGAAGTCAGCCATTTTGGATTGAAGTTCGGATTTTGACCCCATTTTTGCCGTTTACAGCCTTCGTATTTGATCGAACTCCTCCTAGGGATTTTGATTGATCGGCTTCAAACTCGGGCAGTCTGTTCATAAGGCATGTCCCATCTAAAGTTATCAAAACAGTGAGTTTTTGAGTATGCTGAAGGGGGGTTAGCAGGGGTCAAAGATCACCTACTCGCCATAAAAAATAAACTGCTATATCTCCTAGACAGAAACTCACAGAGGCACCAAAGTTTCTGTGATTGATCATCATCAGGTGTCCTACAATACCCTATGGTCGAATGATTACATCACTTAGGCCACGCCCCCTGAGAACAGGAAGTGTAATGTTTTACTGTGAAAGGTCGCTATCTGACCCCTTTGACCTCATCAACATGAAACTGTGCCCAGAGACAGAAGACATGTTGGTGTGTTGAGGATTCCAACCCCGACCAGCTTCGATGGAGCAGGTGGGCGTGGCGGCGTGGAGAACTTTGACGATTTGCCGTGAAACATCAAGATTGAATAACTTCCAAATGCAAGATTACAGCTGCTTCACACTTACTATGTCTCTCTACAGAACAGTCCTGAACACATTTCCATGGCCACTTGATGAAATAACCTTAGCCCAGCTAACACCACAGCACCCTATGAAATATAGGTTATGTTATGCAGGTTAACATTAATTATTTAAATATACATTATTATAAGTTTTCTTTTATTTTTTTTAATAAGTTTGTTTTGTGGGTTAGAGTACAAACATTAATTCATTTTGGCTAGAAATAATACAAACGTCATTCAGCAGCAGTAACTGTTTATAAACAATTTCAGTAATTCGCCACTTGGGGTCAGTATTGCTCCACAAATGAAACAGCGGATAAACAGGATGAAGAACAATATCAGTATTTCGCCAGTAGGTGTCAGTGTTACTCCACCAATGACAAACAGATCCACGGGCGGATGGGCGTGAAAACTTTGTGAGAGCGTTGCCGTGACATTTCTAAAAGGATAGAAATGTCTCAGATAATTTTTGTTGAATTAAATCATGCAGTAAATGTAGCGTTTTGTTACTGCTTACAAACCATTTCAGTAATTCGCCACTCTGAGTAAGTATTGCTCCAACAATGAAGTAGAGTGCTTTAGAAACACAGCTGAAGATGATGAAAAATGAAGAACTGCAGTACTTCGCCATGTGCATACATCGGCTGTAAATGACACGTGGATCATTCGACTGGCGCCAAATTGGATATGTATGACCTTTGTTGACCTCTAAAGAGCAAAACAGCATTGAAATGTATTTTGACTCCACTGCGCCCCCTACATTAATCTGCCAGCTATATTTCCTCGCTAAACCAATGAATCTGGACCACATTTTTTGCATCGTCAAGGAGCGCCGCCGAACGCATCGATGCGTACCGCCTGGTGGACGGGCGCGGAAACTGCGCAACAACTTATGTGTTAGAACGTGGGAAGCGTTGATGGAAACTGAGCAACAGCTTCCGCGGTGCGGGCGGAGGTTGCTGAAAACTGCGTGAGAGCTTCTGTGGTGGCTGGCGTCGGGCGGCGGTTGCTTGTACCCCGCGGTGGCCAATAGGCCGGAGCGGCGCTTGGCTGCGAGGGCCGTTCGAGGCTGCTTGAAGCTTTAATTTATTTTTATGTTGTGAAAGCTGCTCATCATTCTAATACTGACATTTTATACTACTAAAACAGTGTTTGAGAACTCGCTTGAAAGTTTTTAGTTTATTTCTTACTGCGTTTTAAACAAAAAGCATAGACAATCTTTTTGGTGCATCTAATTATTTTGTGTTGTCATAAAGAAATAAAATATGTAGAAGAACACCAGTCATGTGTGCTTCTCTGATTTATTTATCCTAAATCAACTGGATTATTTTTTGTTTGGTTCCTGTACATTTAATTCATGTGTTTGAATAATGGACATCCAAACCACATCCACTGGTTAACCACCACCACAACCAGTCGAATGTAAATTATTTTCATGGACTTAATGATTTTCAATATAAAACCTCTAAAGTTTTAGCTTAAGCTCAGCTTGATTGTCCACCCGTCTGGCTGAGTTAAAGGCTAAATGGACAGATTTAACAGATTCAACATCATCAAAAAATTAACAGTTTCCTCCTTCATAAAAATAAAAAATAAAAAACCTGACCACAAAACCATATATAGGTAAAAATTATAACCACGTTTTTGCTAAAGTTATTCATAAGGTTCAAGTAGTGCCTTAATCCAAAGTTGCAATTTTCCACATAGCTTTAGGAATTGCTTTGTTTGAGTGAAGCTCGGTGAAATTGGAATATGATTTCATCAAGACAAGACGGCAGCAGCTCAATATAGTTTTCTGGTAATATCAATGACCAACAGAAGAGTGAATAGAGGAAAAGGGGGAAAAGCAAGATTTAGAAGGAACAAATCTGGGAGAAATGGTTCAAAGTTAAAATCGCATACAAGAAGGAGGCACCAGAATATCTCAGATCCGGTGAGATTTTAGAGATTTACAGAATTTAGGCACATGCTAATGTAGCTGAGTTGATTTTATTTACTTATTTTTTATAATTATTATATGAACCTTCTCAAAACACTTTTTGTAGAATTGACATGTCTGTTGTTTTTGGTTCCTGATGTCGTTCTGGGAGGGTGGTTATTGATGTCGCACAGAGTGGGTTCTGTGAGGTAGCTGCAGCAGCCAGGCAGAAGCTGCCTACACAGCTGCTGGTAAGACGTGCTAATGCTACCCCCCACTCTTAGTGATGTTTATGATGTTTATAATTGTTCTCAGACTTTTGTACTTTTAAATTAAAATGTTAATTGTTTTTATATGTCTTAAGAAAGACTTTAGTTTCAGTTAGGATTAAACTGTTGGCCTTTAAGGTTGTTTGAAATTTTCCCTCCAAAATGTTTGTAGAGCTGCTGGGATCTGACTGTGTGTATGTGCCACACCAATGGTTGAGTGTATCCCATGTTGTGTTACAGAAATAAACTGACGCAGATCCTGAGTCCCGTGTGCTCCATTTTGCAACTGCTACACTAATTCACACCTCAACCAGTGTATGACCTACAGTTTATACCACTACTGTGTAATATTAGGTCACAACACCTCTGATGTCCAGCAACAAAAAAAAATCTCACTGCTTCTTGAGTAAAAAACAGCTAATGAGCTGGTGATATTTCTAAGCTCCAAACTTCACATTAAACTGGTCACATTGCACAAGATCTGATGGTGTGCAGTCTGTGCACACAGGCCAGGACGGTACTGGTTAAATATTAGCTTTAACGAGCTTCTGGGTAACACAACCCGGGCCTTTGATAGTACTCTCACTGCAACTGGACAGGAAATTCCCGGTGGAGATAAAGAGTGTAGCAGTGACTGGCTGCACACGGTTTGGCACTAAGATGGATGAGGCTTTATTTCCCGGAAATAAAATATTTTTGCTGCAGCTGTCCAGCATAAAACAACTGGACAATCTATTTCACAAAACACGCAAATACAACAAGAAAAAAAGGAAGCCCTTGAAGAAGATATGAAGTTATTTTATGCCTTGTGTGACGTCATTAGTGGTGCTGCACATGCAAGAGGAAGCTGGTTTTTGGGAGGGCAGATCTTCAGTAAATATTGAAGCATATTCAGTAGATATTCATAAGCTGGAAAACAGTTAACAGTTAATCTGTAATTAACAAGTCATAACTGAGGATGGCTTTGAGTTGTTTTATGCAAGCCTGGTTAGTAACTTTAAAATAAGAAAGCCGTCGGTGGAAGTTATCTTTAAGGCCACGATATTAAGCGACCACGGTTTTCAAAATAAACTTGAACGAATTACATCTGAGGCTACAAACCCGCATTCTCAACAAAAATAGAAGGACGTGAGGTAAAAAAAAAAGGATATTTAATTTACTCGTTTATGTTTTGAGTTGAAAAGTGTGCATTGCGCGTTCTTCGTTTTTAGCTTCAGTTTAGTTTTGCGTCCTTTATTTTGAAGGGCAAACCCGGAAGTCGCGTTCGAGAACAAAGCAGCTCTAACATCAGGTGCGCGCGGTGGAGCGCGTGAAGCGGCGGCGAACTTCACTGAGAGACAGGTAAGAAAAGTTTGACTTATGTTGCTGAATTATGATTGCGGTGCTGCCGAGCTTAACTTCGCAGCTCAAACAAAGCGCGCTGGAAGTTTTATCCATCTGAAGGAGCTCTCAGAAATGAAGTTTGGCAAAATATGGAATTAAATTTCAGGTTGAACCGCCTGAAAGGTGTTTCACGCGCTGATCGGCTTTAAAGCAGCTGTTTGTATCAAGTAGTGTTTACTTGTATGGCCCGCGTGTGTTTCTGTTTGTATTGCTCCTCGTGAAGTCTGGTCTGTATCTGGTGTTTTATTTAAGTCACAAATGCATAAAGTGGGGCAGAAAGAAGAGTTTCCCGGCGTCCATTCTCTGGTCAAGCAGCTTTTCAAAAAAAAAAAAAAAAAATCTTTTTTTTTTTTAAACATAGTTTTCAGTCATTATTAACTGGAGTTAAACGCATTTGTGCAACGTTTTGCAGAAATGCGCAAAACATGGTCCAAATCAGACCCAGCACTTCTGCTGACAAGATCACTCTAAGCACATTCTGTACAATAACCAATATAGGCATATTGCATATCTATATAATGGGCTAAAGTTCATCTAAGTGATAAAATGTTCTACCTCATGAATTCACAACACACTGGACCAGTAAAATAAGCCCAGTGTGGCAAAAAAGCTCATAGAAATATTTCTGCTTTCCTGTCAGAAGGGCCAGTTCCTGAGAGGTCATGGGAGGGGATGAGGTTTTGACCCTTGTTTTTGTTTTTGATAGAGCCTTTAATGTGGCTTTCTACCAGAACCTTAAATAGGTCTTAATTTGTTCATTCTTCCTTTTCAATAATTGACCAAATATATAAAATGAAATGAAAACAAAATCAGCTTTTTGGTGCCCTTCAAAAGACTGCTGGGAAAAAAAAGTGGAAAGAAATAAAAAGCAGAAAAATAAAGGTGAAATATTTCACTCATACAAATTTATTTGCAGTTTGTATTGCAATTAGTTTAGTTCGTTTACCAAACTGTGATCTGTTCCAGGGGCAGAAAGTGGAATATGGAAAGTGTGCATCAGTCACATTAGCAGAAAGTACTAGCAAGTTGGAATACATCAAAAATAAAAAAAAAATTCTTGTGTTGTTTTTGTGATCATTTAGAGATGATTTTAACATCTTTTCATGACCTCACAACAGCTTCCCTATCTGCTTCAAAGGAGCTTCCCCAAACCATGATGCTGCCACCTCCATGTTTCCCTAGATCTATAAGTATTATTGGGATTTTTAAGGCCTTTCTGTTTGTCCTGAAAAAAATAAAGGAACAGGATATCTAGCAACTCAGCAGGGGGGGGGTTAACGGCCCCACTCCACTTCAACTTTCACCTACTTGATAATTCAGCCTTGCACAAGGCGGTGAAATGATTTCTTCCATTTTTATCACTTCCTCTCCTTCCCATCAGCTGACTGTTTAATTAAAATCCATAAAAATTGACCAATGATTATTTGTACATAATGTTCCAGACCTGAACTGAAGTCTTCCTTATTTTTGTGACTTTATTATTCTACATTTACATTTTGCCTAAACAAAAAATCATCTCAGCTTCTGTAAATCAATATTTACTTTCATATTTAAATAATCAGATTTCTCATCGGTTGAGATGATTTGCAGCGTTTCTGAAGCGGACCGAAGGGACAGCTTAAAATTGTACAAATTGGACGAATGAATGGAGTTTGTTGTGCAACAAGTTTTAATGTCCTCCGCAGCCATTCCATTCCACTTTGATCAGCTTTTATCTCGGCCCATGCAATCGTCTCAGCTGACCATGCACGGGGGGTCATAGGTCACTGAGGCAGAGGTGAGACCACTGAGCTGCTCTTTCTTCCCACTTTTTGACACTCTTTGTGGGAAACTTTCATTCACTCCAGGGGTGTTTTAGTTGAACACAACTGTACGTGCCAAACAAGTGTTTTAGAAGCCTCTGTAAAAGTAATAAAGCAGTAAAAGTTGCTTCTCTCTTGTCTCTTTTCCTATCTTGCTCATTGACCGTCTCAAAGGCCAAATGTAAACAATCAGGCCGGCTGTCTTGGAGCCGTGGGCCTATCAGAGGGCTTCCTGATGCCTGTGCGATGTGTGATTGGAGGGCTAGCTCTGGCTAACTGTGTATTAACGGGTCTCTGTGGGTTTTTAGTGTAACTTCCTCCTCGTGGCCGCGGCAGCAGCAGCGTTGCCGGGGTCGCTGTCTGTGGATAATCAGCAGAGATTAAACACCCGCTGCTTTCTGGTCCAGGTTGGTGGCAAATATCGGATAGAACGATCCAGAGTTGTACTTTTGGTAAGTAGATAAAGATTCCTGTTTTGTTTTCTTTGTACTTGTTTTCCATTTTATGTATCATTTTCTAGTTTTAGTAATCTGTGAAATTGTTTTAGTTCTCTTACTTTTAAAGTGTATGGACCAGTCTCTCTATGCTTAAAGCAGAGTTGAGTTTCTCCTGTTATATTATCCATATTTTTTATAGAGAGATGTGATCCACTCTGGGTTTGTTTGGCTGTTTTTAAGCCTCCTTCATGTTCAGTGACAACACGCCTCAGATCTTTGTGTGTTCTTGCTGAAGGAGAAACAGTGAAACCGAATACACAGCTCCTCCTTGGACGATTACAGAGGAAAGAGCATAAAGGGGAATGTTGTTCTCAAGCCAAAGCACTGGTCTTAAATTTTGCACATTCAGATTTTCTTTTTGTCATTCATCTTTAAAGTGAGCTCTCCATTGTTTCCTCAACAACAATGCAACTCAGATTTTACCTCTGTATTCACTAAACAGCTCCTTTGACTCCAAAAGCCACATGGACTCAGTTGTTTACCAAAAATACTTTTTAAACTAACAAGTTCTTAAATGCTACAGGTGTATCTATCAGAATGTTGCAGCATATTTACAATCTGTTGTCTTTCGATGTGTTCAAATTCCTTCAATGGCAATGCGACAAAGTTTTCTCCAAATGTGTTCCCCCTTTTCCTGTATTTAGATGGGAAAAGGCAAGATTCACTGAAAACTGAACAGGAGATTTTTGTTCTTGTGTGACAGAGGAGCACACCTTTAAATAGAAGTATATCCAAATATTAACAGCTCATACTAGGTTGTGTTATGTTTTTGTCATTTTGCAAAGACGTGTTTTTTAGTACAATGTTCTTAAAAAGAGCTAATTAAAAAAAAAAGAAACTGCACGATTTTGAGCCCCATTTTTAGCAGCTTGTATTTAGCACCACCATGGTTGCTAGGCGACGAGACGTGCACCATGGTAACGATAGGACAGCCCGATTTGACCGCCACTAATTCTTGGTCTTCAACAATTCCACTGATCTCTGATCCAGAACTCCACGGCATTCTGGGGGATGTAGGCAGAAGAAACGCTATAGCTTTTCAACTTCTCACCACAAGCTAAAGCAAGGTGAGCGGCATCAACAAACCCACTTACTCTTTGGTTACCTAGCAACAACCTGTTGTGCAACTTGTGCAGCAGCAGCTTCAGGTTTTGCTACTGAGCCTCAGATTTCCAATAAATATGATAATTGCATCTGATGTCTTTTGTGTACATTCCTTGGTCCAGAGCCATGAACTTGAGCCCAGTTTAAGCAAGCATTTTTAAGTGCTGTTTTTAAGTGTAATCTGAAAGTCTGTTTCCTATGCACTACGATGGAATTTAAGCATATTACTAAGTAGAGGAAAAGAAACTAACAAGCTAATTCCACCTCCACCGGCTCAACCTGAAATTCATCTTATGGGTTGGAAAGATGACAGTGGAGCTCTTTGATTTAAATGTTACTGGTTATTAACTCATCTGTGCTGAATACCATCTGATCTTCCAGACTGAAAAAATACATGTTGATACATACAACCTTCTTCCAAGTATTTATAGGATAAATAAAAGACGGAATAATTAGATGATCACAAATAACTGCCTGTGTAAAAGCAAGACGGCTCAGTCATTGACTCTGAGGTGGTGGGAAGACGCAGATATGCAAATCAACACCTCAAAAACGAAGCGCACGGCTGTTTATGTCAGAAGAGTAATCCCAACTCCAGAGTCCACCATAATTAATGGGTGAACCATTGAAAAGGTGCAGTCTTATAAATACCTTGGGACAATCCTTGATGCAAAGCTATTGTTCAAACAGTGTGAATATGAGTGCAGGAAGAGAAAACAGGACCTTTATTCTCCTTTTCACAGGAAATAAACAGGGATGACACTGAAGAGTCAGGTTTAAGGTCTCGGATGTAAAGACTGAATATTATTCAAACTGTTTGATCCTGGCATGCCAAAGTGGCACAAAGGTTAAGTACAACCCACTGAAGGAGACCTTAGGCCTCGACATGGCTGTCAAGGGTTTGAATCCCAGCCTGCTGATCTTTGCTGCATGTCTTCCCTCTCTCTCATTACCTACTTTTCTGTTTGAGCACTTTCAAATAAAGGCAACGAGAGCCAAAAAGAAATCCCTTTAAACAACAAACAGTTTTATCCTGACTCCTTTCTGGATAACAAAGTGAAGAAAAAGTTTTAATTCAGAAGAAAATAAAATAGCGGGAAAGGGAAGTACAGGATTTCTCCCGGTGGCTCCAAGCCTGGCGAGCGACCAGGCTAAGCATCGTTTGTTTTAATGATTTTCCTTTTTAAAGACTTTATAGTTGGTGTGCAGGTATTAATCTTCCAATAGCACATACTCATCAAGTGATATTTTCAAATTTCCTGTCAACTTGAAATATTTCTAATAAAAAAATATGCGGCCTCCCACTGGGTTTAGAAAGTTTTCTGGAGGAAACCATGGAAGTAGTTCAGCTATGCTAGCTTGACTTTGACAACTTAACTTGGTACTGTTTATGTGCTGCAGAATTCAGTGTTTTGGTTCATTTAAAAAGCCAAAACTATAAGGTGACCTAAATACCAACTCTTCTTACACAAGAAGCTTTGGAAAGAAGAGTTGAATGCGACCAAGCGTTCATACAAGAAAATTATCTGCAGCTATGAAAGCCAGATTTCTGGAGTAAAGCAAGAAGTGGAACAATATCAGCAGCAGTTGAGACACAAGAAAGAGGCAAACTTTGAACAAGATAATGACAATAAGCGGCTTATCAACAACATAAGAGCTGAGAAGGAGGAGTTAATCCAACAAGTTCAGAAACTAAAGCTCCAGATCACCCAGGAGGTGACTTCAAATGGAGAAGTCAGAAGAGGACAAGGCACTTCTCGAAAATCTGACAGCCGAGAATGCCATCCTCAGAGGAAAGACTAGGCAAGAGATTAGGTTCCTGCAAGAAAAATTAAACAGTGTCAAGATTGAGCTAGAGAAGGTCAGGTGTCGGTATGAAACCTATATGACTGCATTGAAACAGCAAGCGGGCAAAAACCAGCAAGAGAACAGTTCTGCAAAAAATGATTTGGAACCATCAGAAGAAGATTTGCTGCTGCCCGACACGCTGAGTGCTGACAAAGATTCCCAACAAGAACCAATCTCAGTTTCCAAAGAGGAAGAGGAACAGAGCAAAGACGAGCTGGCTGAAGATCTGCATCGAGAGGTTTCTTCAGAGGACGAACTCCGGGAAGAAACCTCACCAGGCTGGTGAAGTCAAGAAACCACCAAGGAAACCGAGATCATTGAAGAAACCAGCCGGGAATATTTGGATGATACAGACATGAAAGGCTTACAGGATGGTAAGAGGAAAAAATTGACATTTTGGAAAACGGTGAGAAAAATGTTCAGATGGAAGAAAAAAAAAAAAAGACGACCAAGACCACATCTGATGTTCCAGACTTTGATTTTTAGAGAAAGACGGAAAAACGTGGGCAGCACGGTGTCGCAGCGGTTAGCACTACATCTTCACAGAGACGCAGTGTGGGGTTTGCATGGTCTCCCCGTGTTTGCTTGGGTTTTCCCTGGATGCTCCAGTTCCCCCCACATCTCCTAAAACATGCAGGTCAGGTCAGTTGGTCACTGTAAATCACCCCCAAAATAGTTCAAGAAACTCCAAACATTTGTGCAATTTTATTGTTAAACTTGTGAAATTAATTGAACTCACCAGACGTTAGACATTTTCCCTTTGCTGGTTTAGTGCCGCTATTTTAAGAATTTAAGAATTAAAATTTCTTCTATTAATAGTAATGATTTCTGCTTATTTTCACTGTATTTGTGCTTTTATGGTTTGTCCTTTAGTTTTCCCTTTTCTACTCAGTTTTTATATTAAATTGCACTGAATTGTAGCTTGTTATACTGTGTTTAAACCTGTATTTTAGAAAAGATTAGCTAAAGGATCATGCAGTGGCTTTTTTAGGACAACTGTGATTTTGTGGTCGTCTTGTGACCAGAAGGTTGTAAGTTCGATTTCAGCTTCCTGAGCCACATGCTGAAGTGCCCCTGGGCAGGGCACGTGGCAGCACTTTGCCCACCAACCTGCATGTCGGTGTAAATGTGGGTGAATGTGATGTTTATCATTTTTACCTATGTTTCTTTTTCTTCTATTTTCCTTCTCTAGTTTGACTGACTGTAGTATCCCCTGGCACCGGTGTTTTTTTGTTTATTTTATTATTAATGTATCTGTTTCTATTTACTATGATCTGATCCACTTAATGTATTTCATGTCTGTATATATGTGGGTATGTTTGGGTTTGTTCTAGCCCTCTTAGGTTTGTAGGTTAAAGGTACATTGTTAACTGTGTAACTATTGCACTGCCTTCACATTGTACCTCACGTTAAAGCATAAATAAAGTTTTGGAAAAAAAACTGTACATAATATAGATAACTGTAATCATAACTTAATAATCCGGACTGTGAAGAAGCCCAAAGTTGCTATATTTGGTAACAAAAGTTACTGTGTGATCTTATTGCTACGTAGATTCATTTTGCCCGCCCAAAATAAGCCGCTGCCCCCATGGTTGCACTCGTCTGGAGCTGGAGCTGGTATGAACCTACATGCTTCGATGATGCTGTCACACCTGAATATTTCTGTACTGTTCTTTTCTAGGTCGCCTCCTGAGAAGCATCTGTCCAGCACCTGCGATCTCTGACCTTTCCTGAGCCCCCAGGCCCACCTGTTGTTCCAGTACTACAGCAAAATGCTGAGCCAGGCGTTCCTAGAGAAGATGAGGTCTTTAGACCTGGAAGACATGAGCCAGTATATCATGAGCATCTCCACCCCCATGTTGGTCAGCATGGGAGCAGTGGCCGCTGCCACCACCTACTACCTGGCTACGCGACCCAAAGCCCTCCCACCGTTCTGGGACCTGCACACGCAGTCAGTCGAGGTTCCGGTGAGTTAAAATCCAAGGGGAAAATAAACACTCAAGAACAAGCCAAGAAAACTTTGTTGTTGTTGTTCACTACAAAATAAAGTTTAATACTAAATATAATTCAGTTAAGTTGTTTACATGGCATCAACTCATAATAAATGTCACCTCAAGGTTTCTTTACAAGATGCCTTGAATGTGTCAAACATTCTCATTCCTGGAAAAATGTTTCCACCTCTGGGGATCTTAAAGATCTTAAAGATATGAGCAATCTGAGAAAATTAACCTCTCTACTGCTGGAAAAATCCACTTATAGTTTACTGAAGACAGATGATGAAACTGTGACAAAGAATAAATAGTCTGGTCTTGTACAGTCCAAGGACTCCAAAGTGCTTCAAACTATCATTCACACACTGGTGGAGCTACATTGTAGCCACATGATCCCTCACAAAAACAAGCTGAATTACATCCTAGACAAAAGCCTTCTTCACTGCCTGAAATCTCTCTTATTAGCTTTCATAACATGTTGTGTTTTTTCAGGGCAGTGATTTTGTGCATCGCTCAGTGCTTCAGAAAGAAGACAGTTACCTGACTCACGCCTATGAAGACGCCAGAACTATGTACGAGTCTTTCATCAGAGGAGCAAGAGTTTCCAGTAAGTGAGATAATAAAGAGCTTAAAGCTGTAACCTGGGACATGCCCTCTGACCCACAGTATAGTTTTCATTTAGGTTTAAGTTCAACAGATCTTCAATCTCTTGGCTATTTCATTTTTACAGTTTTAAAGTAGAAATGAGTGTTTTGCAGTTACAGAGCCCTCCTCAAGCTGTCTCTGTTTTTTTCTTCCTCATTCTTTGACCTTTCACCTCTCCCCTCTCCTCCCAGATAATGGTCCCTGTTTGGGCTTCAGGAAACCAAAACAGCCTTATGAGTGGATGTCTTACAAAGAGGTGCCTGTTGGAGCAAATATATTATTATATTTGAATTAATTCAAAATTAACTCAGGATTAAGATATAGGAATCAATAATTCCTTAATATTGATGGAAAAACTACGTTAGAAGTGAAATAATCTGTCATTAATTAAAAATGATGCTTTTTAATCAATGTTAAGGAACTTAAACTCCTGTTTCTTACCAGAAAGTTACTTTTACGTCGGTTTTTACTAATTTCTACTAATCAGCTTATCTGTGCTGCCTTAAAATCCCCTGTGTGTGTGTGTGTGTGTGTGTGTGTGTGTGTGTGTGTGTGTGTGTGTGTGTGTGTGTGTGTGTGTGTGTGTGTGTGTGTGTGTGTGTGTGTGTGTGTATGTTTGGTAGGTAATGAAGCGAGCAGAACATCTGGGTTCTGCGTTTCTTCACAAAGGACATTCAAAAATCACCAACCCCCACATTGGTGTTTTTTCTCAAAACAGACCAGAGGTACAAACTTTTCTCCTTATCCTTCAATTCGTTTCTTTTGTTGCTTTTTTTAGGCCAGAATGCCAATCTAACATTAAATATGTTTTGTTCTGTTTTGACGCTGTAATGTCTGTGTGGGTCTAGTGGACCATCAGTGAGCTGGCGTGCTACACCTACTCCCTGGTGTCCGTCCCTCTGTACGACACGCTGGGAACAGAGGCCATTTCCTACATCATAGACAAAGGTGAAACCCTGCAACAGCAGAATGATTTGATAAATTATTCACATCCATTCAGTTTTTTTCACATTTAAATGAATTACAACCACAAATATTTCTTTGTGTCTTTAATGTACTTCTAATTTTGTATAAAAAAAAACCCTTAAAAGGTTAAATGAAAAATCTGCAGAATGGGCCAATTTTTTAGACCTTTAATCTATTAATCATCAGAATAATTAGTTAGTTGCAGTCCTTTTACATTTATGTTTACATATTTGTGCTAAAAATTGATATTTTGTGCTTTTGTATTTTGCCTGCTTTAGTCTGATATGCGTAAATAACATTTAAAATAATAATAATAAAAAAAATACTTTTCTGAAAAGCCATGTTCACATTTACCTTCCCAATCATAATTACTTGCTACTTTATGTTGGTAAATCCCATTAAAATACATGATGGTTTGTCCTTGTGATGCTAGGAAATGTGGCAAAGGTTCAAAGGTCATGCATGCTGCTGTAAGTTACTGTGTTTTAGCCTGTCCTTGACTCGAACCTCTTCCGTACGTCGGGATTGTGTTTGTGCAGCTTCCATCTCTGCCATAGTGTGTGACGTGACGGACAAAGCCAGCCTGGTGCTGGACTGCCTTGCAGACATGAAGCACTTGGTGAAGACCATCGTTCTGATGGAGACCCCCAGTGCCAGCCTGGTGGAGAGGGGCCAGCAGGCCGGAGTCCACATCCTGAGCCTGCAGGAAATGGAGGTCTGGAGTCACTTCTTAACCTCTGCACCATGTCTGACTGGTGGATTTTAAGGCTGTTTTTTAATAATCTGTTGGAATTTACTTGTTGGGAAACTTATTTTTCTCTCTATTGAGTTGTTTCCAATATTTATGTCATCATTTTAATTTTTCCTAAACTATTTTCTTTTTGAAGGAATCAAATGTCCTTTTCTCTCCTCTTTTACCGTCTTGTCTTACTTTCCTCTTCCTCAGGCTCTCGGTGAGGCCAATTACAAGCAGCCGATTGTAAGTAACTTACAAATCTGCCCAGAACTTTCCAATGCTAATAAACTTGACCTTAAACTTGTGTGTTTGACCCCCGTCAGCCTCCTCAGCCTGATGACATGGCAGTCATCTGCTTCACCAGTGGAACCACAGGTAACACACGCCGTCTGACCCGCACCTGAAATACCTTCAATCATGACCAAAGCCTCCATCCTGCTGTTCATTTTCAGGAAGCCCAAAAGGAGCGATGTTAACACATGGCAACATTGTGTCCAACTACTCTTCCTTCATCAAACTAACAGAGGTGAGAGCTTTTATCTGGAGATAAAAAACACTTATTTTTCATTTTTTCAACTTTCAGCTTCTAAGATTTGCTTTGATTTTCATCTAGGAGATTTGGGGAAGCAAAATTATATTTTAACTTATAAAGTGGAAAAAAATATCTTCTTCTTTCACTGGCAGATTAATTCACTTATTGATGAAAAAGTTCTAGTTATATTAAGGAATTATTGACTAAGATCAAGCTCCTCTATCTTGTTTGCAAGATAGCAAGTTTTATCTTATGTCAAGTGTACAGAGATATTTGCCCTAGAAACTAAAATGAAAATATTTGGTAGGATTTTGTATTTTTGCCCTTTGAGTGGGAAAGAAAGAACATAACAAATCAAAGGTAAATTGATGTAGCATTAAACATGTGAACCAAAAGACCACAGGTGTCTTCCAAAACAAATTAATACAGATATGGCAGAAAGCAACCATTGCTATGAGAAACAAGAGCTCCTACATTAGCTTTCTGTTTTATTTTTCGGCAGAATTCAGGCAGCCGACTCACAGAGTAACCACACCCAAAACAAACATGCAGCTCTGCATGCAATGTTTCTTTAATGTTATTTCTGTTCCATCTGTTACTCAGAAAGCGACAAATGGTTTGGGGAGAAAACAGCTTTCACGTTCATATTTTATTTAGTGTTAGCATTTTGGATTGTTTACGTTTCTTGCGACACAGCAGGGTCAGCTGGTTTAAGATGCAGAGTAGGTTTTTATGACCCACATCCTCTTCTGTCCATTTAGACAACATTCGGAGACTTAATGCTAGATTTACTGCCTGTGATATAAAATCACTCACCCTTGCTTCCTTGCTGTCATATCCTGTAGCTGTGCTGTCCGCTGAATTCCAGTGACGTCCATATTTCCTACCTCCCTTTGGCTCATATGTTTGAAAGGGTAGTCCAGGTACGTTTCAGGTTGTTACCTTTCAGTCGCCCCATCTTCTTTACTGCAGGAACACACTGCAAAAACTGTTTACGGTGCCATCTTTCTGACAGGGGGTCATGCTGGTGCATGGAGCCAGAATCGGCTTTTTCCAGGGAGACGTCCGCCGGTTATCGGAGGATCTGATCGCACTGAGACCTACCGTGTTCCCAGTTGTACCCAGACTTCTCAACAGAATGTATGATAAGGTGATTGAGCCACCTTAACGTCTACTGGCAGCACTGTGATAGGTCTGCAACTAACAATTATTTTAGTAATCGATTATTCTATCAATTGTTCTGACGATTAAATGGACATATTCCACAAATTTTTCACTGTAGCCATTTTTACACTATTAGAAATCCAATAAAAATGGAAATAAGCATAACATTTCTGTCAAAGATAATTCCAGTAAGAAAGTAAATATTTTATTGTCTAAAATGCAATAACAGCATTTCTTTACTGTAGTTTGATCATCTGGAGCAACAGGAAAAAAATCATACTGTCAACTGAGCTACTGTTTGTTTTTTGGATCAATACCTGGATAGCAAAAGATCTTAATATGAGATTTGTTTTAATACAGAATTTAAAGTGAAGGTAAAACTCCCACGTGAGTTGTGGGTAGTAAACATGTCCATGCAAAGTAGGTTTTTTCATCTGAAATGCAAAATGTAAAGATTTTTGCAAAGGCTTTGGTTTAATTACTGGCCACTTTTAGAGACTGAATACTCCAGTTATTGATTAACTGATTTCAATAATTAATTAATCATCATTAATTGTGTCACCTGTTGGAGTTTTAGATCTATTGTTTGATTAAAAGAGATATGAGAGTGATAAGGTTCACCTTGTTTTCACTGACTGTTTACGTGTGTGTGTTGCGTGTGTGTGTGTGTGTGTGTGTGCGTGCGTGCGCACGCTCAGATCTTCGGGCAGGCCAACACCTCTTTGAAGCGCTGGCTGCTGGACTTGGCGTACAGGAGGAAGCAGGCAGAGGTCATGAAAGGCATTGTGCGGACAGACAGTATCTGGGATCGACTCATCTTCAGGAAGGTCCAGGTATGCAGAACCAACTGGTCACATTGTTCCTCAAGTCACAGGAAACAAAAAATTTTCTCAGCACATTTTTAATTTTTCAATGTATAAGTGGCAGCAGTAGTTGCTGGTTGCTGACTTTAACAAAACGGAGCCGAAACATGGATTAGTGGATTCATTGAAAGGCAATGATGTAAAATAATTCTCTGCAATTCTCTTATTCTCTTCTTGGGGAAAGTTTACTTACATTTTAATTATTGCTTTTTTATTTGTTTGTTTGTTTTATGGTTTTGTAACTAATATATTGCACAAGGAGATCACTTCAACATAATTATGTTTGATAATCAGCCCATTATCCATTCATCATATTTTATAAAAATCATTTGCCCCAAATATGGATTATTTAATTATATTAAAACAAAAGTTTCAAAAACTGATATACAATTAAATTATGTAACGTTTGAACATTTTTATGATTATTGATCTCCATGCTTTATAAAAATACACTACTACAAAGTAGATTAAACCCATCAAGACTGTGATGTAAGGCATTGTTTCTGCTGAAAGACTGTAAGATATAAACATCATTGTAATAATAGTGATCAATTAGTCCACTAGTGGAATACATTAGCGTTGAGTCGAGGGGCGGGGCTAATGACCGGGCTCTTTATACCCAAATAAAGCTCATAATGATTTAACTTTACAACCTAGACATGCCTGCAGCAGCGGAGCTTACAAGTTTCGCCACCACAGAGAGCAACTATGTCTTTCTGAAATCCATCTGATATGAAGTACAACAAACCAAGAGAACAACAGAAACATCGGACTTCTGCTCACTAATGATGAAACGACACAAATTTGGGTTGGGATCATTTTGACACTATCAATTTCAAATCGGAACCTGGAGCAGCGAGCAACTGCTGCAGCTAGGTGTATTGTTGACGCTTTGAAGCAGACGCGCAGAGGCATGCGCTGCATGCACAGCGTGTTGCAGCATCTTGTGCACCTCTGAATTTTGATAACTCGTCACGGGTCGCGCGCGCCACAGTTCACACAAACTGGACGATGCTCTTCCAGGCGGTTCTAATGTAAACCTTAGCTATAAACGCCAAACTGCTGTCTTGGCTTAAAAACATGCTCAACCCAAACTGTTAAAGGCGACTATAACTCAGCCTTCTGTCCCTGACATCACCGCTGTACCACCGACAGAGAGGAAAGGGGATGTAAGCTAGGCATGAAGCCCCGGGCCTGAATCAGATTTTGCTGATCAGGTGCAAGAGCTTGTTGCTTATTTTGACTGATTGTTTTAGATTTTTCAGTAGTGTCCTATGCTGCCCCCTACAGGCCAGCCTCGGAGGCCGCGTGCGTCTCATGGTGACAGGAGCGGCCCCCATCTCCCCTACAGTCCTCTCCTTCCTCAGAGTTGCTATCGGCTGTCGGGTAATGGTTGAGCTGGAAGTTTGCTCTCTGCTGTTTCATAAATCAGATCCACATTAATCCAGTCTTGTTGCTCTGCAGTTCTACGAAGGCTACGGGCAAACGGAGTGCACCGCCGGATGTACGATGACCCTTCCTGGCGACTGGAGTGCAGGTAACGTTTTTCCACGTGAAGCCGTCTAATCGGCCAGTGAGACTTGAACTAAGAGCGACCTCTGCTCAGCAGGTCACGTCGGACCGCCTCTGCCCTGCAACGTCATCAAACTGGTGGATGTCGCTGAGATGAACTACCTAGCTGTAAACGGGGAAGGGGAGGTGGGACACAATACCAGCCGATGGAATCACATGGTTTTGGTTAGCCTTCTCTCCCTTCTACATGTAGGTGTGTTTTTGTTTTTTAGGTGTGTGTGAAGGGTCCAAACGTCTTCAAGGGCTACCTGAAAGACCCAGAGAAGACCGCAGAGACTATAGATGCAGACGGATGGTTGCACACCGGAGACATCGGGAAGTGGCTCCCTGTACGTTCATCCAGCTTCATTCATTTTCACATTTTTTCTATGTGAATTATAGTGATATTGCTTTAAGATGTCGTCATACCAGATTCAATTTTAATTGATTTTTTAAATTTTCTCAATGACAGGAAATATTTTCAAAAAGTGTATTTTATTTTATTTTATCCCTTCTGTGAGTTGTACAATGGAGTATTAGGGCAAGGTTACAATAATTTCTGTTAAATGATCAGAATATAGTCACAAAATTAGCAGACTGTAGATGTATTTTTACCAGAAGAATGTACTGAAATTATGAGGAAGTTTCTAGACTTATTGAGATCTGACGTGACCGGCTTACTCCATGTTGTTTTCTCCTTTTATTTATTTATTTATTTTTGCTATTTTTCATTTCAAAAGCACTACTTAATTCCTCTTAAATTACAACTTCATTCTGGTAATATTAGGACTTTATTCATTTAATTTAAAATAAAGTTTGGCCCGAATATCCCATTGTAGATTTGACCTAAATTCCAAGTCCACATAAATAGAAGCTTTAAAATACGCTTGTCAAACAAGATGGTGGCCTTGAGCAAGCGACATCACTCTGACTTATGAGAATCCAGGGAGTGCATTATTTGGGGGCAAAAAAATACACATTTTCCAAGAATAAAATCTTTATTGATTAATCATCGGCCCATTAATGTGAATCTGACTTTGTTACCCGCTGCTTCTCACTGTGTCCTTATCAGAAGCCTTGATGTCGCAGGGAGTAGTAACACAGTACACACATCTCTTTACAGAACGGCACGCTGAAGATCGTCGACAGGAAGAAGCACATTTTCAAGCTGGCCCAGGGCGAGTACATCGCTCCTGAGAAGATTGAGAACATCTACATGAGGAGCGACGCAGTGGTGCAGGTGTTTGTGCATGGAGACAGTCTGCAGGTCAGCCATTTTAAAGCCAAACTGTTTTGTTTTTCTCTCAAACTCGTCTCAGGCTGCGTATCGTGTTGAGACGGGTGTAACTGTTGTCTCCAGGCTTGTCTGGTAGCGGTGGTGGTCCCTGACCCCGACTTCCTGTGTAGCTGGGCCAAGAAAACGTTGAGGCTGCAGGGAAGCTACCAGGAGCTGTGTAGGAAAGCGGTAATCCCAGCAGACTGTGCACAAAATTTCTACAATCACTTAATGGCAAAGCCAATTTTCAGAGCTTTACTACACACATTCTCTTTTAGCCCTCAACTAATTATACATTCTGCAAAACTTTCATTGAATGTTTTTATATAATATTAAAATTCCATTAAAAGATGCATCCAAACAAGAAATAAGCATTTTGTTGCCTCAAATGCCTTAATATAGCATTTCTTTACCTGAACGGTTGATCTTTTGTCAGCATAAACAGCTAAAATAATACTTATAACATCAACTAAGCTCAGCATCAATACAGTATTGGGCTGATCTGTTGATTAATTTTTAACTAATTAATAATTGGATATTGAAAGGAGTATAGGACTCTTTTTTTCTTTTTATAAAAAATAATTCGAACCAGGTGAAGCTGAAACTGCCACTTGAGGAGTTTTGGTAGAACTGACAAAGTCCATATGTACATATATTTTGTACAGTTTTGACTTAATTGCTGCTCTGTGTTGTTATTTCAACAAATGTCCAGTTTTTGAGTCTGTGTACTCAATTTGACAATAAATCGATTTCTAAATAGTTGACAATTATTTGAATATTTGATTAATCACAATAAATCCAATTAATCGTTTCAATCCTTTTTTTTTACTGTAAAATGTTTTAATTAACTTTAAATCATCTTCTTGAGGACATTATGTTTACAATTTTATTTTTCTTTATAGGAAGTCAAGGCAGCCATCTTGGAAGACATGCTGCGGCTTGGCAAAGAAGGAGGCCTCAAGTCCTTTGAGCAGGTGCAACACCGGCTTCTAGACGAGATTCGCAAGACTGTGAATCCTGTTGAAACGTAACAAAGCTGAGATAAGTTGCTGACAAAGCATTATTCTCCTCTAACACAACCGGTGTCCTGCAGGTTAAGGCCATCCACATTCATACGGAGATGTTCTCCATCGAGAACGGCCTGCTCACCCCAACAATGAAGGCCAAGAGGAACGAAATGCAGCAGCACTTCAGGTCCCAGATAGATGAGCTGTACGCTGGGATCAGCATGTAGCATGGCTCACAAGCTCCATCTGTGTTGTGAAGAGAGAAAGAGGCGACAAGAAACTCCAAGGTGTCGATCTGGAACACAAGAAACGAGCAGAGCAGGCCGACATGCAGCTTTTAGTGTTTGTCAAGCATTTCCAAGATGGGATCTTTGGAACACTAAACCTCCCAGTCCAGAGGAGTTTTTACACATGAAGTGTTTTCTATGATCAAACCTCACTACAATACAAATGTATGATTTTTAAAATATTTTTTAAGATGATTCCAATCAGCTCTTATGTGAAAATTTCAAAGGGAAACAGTCTCTCCTGCTCCATCAGGAATCATGGTGGGTACAGCCACATGTACAAACTGATCACATGCCGGATATTTAAGCTAATGGCCCTTCTATTTCTATTAGTGCACACTCAGCGTGACTTGCTACATGCTATCAGACCCTTTGATTTTGCTGGAGTTCGTGACATCAGAAGACTATTGGTCACTTATTGTTTAGGGGTGGAGCCTCTGTTTGCATCACAAGAGTGATGTTCTTACAATAATCTGACTGGCATTCATTGAAACTCCAAACAAAGACAAAATTTGACAAAAAGCCACACGTCGAGCTATAGTACTAGGTGTTAGTGGAAAAAACCACAGCATCTCAACCATTTTTAGATCAGCATGGTCATCGCTGTACATTGGATGTACATTTAAGCTGTTTTCACTGTGAATATATGAATAAGCTTGGTGCCTCATGAACTAGTTCAGTCACTGAGGACAACACAGTCTGATCTAGCTGTGTTTGGAGAACTCGGGAACCTATGGGAAAAATATGGGAAATCATTTTAATTTATTAATTTATTTATAACGATGATTAGAAAAGGATACTGGCTAAAGCACCTTTCTTAACTGAATGTTCTTTTGTAATGAAAAGTTAATCACTAGGTTTTCATTTTGTAAAAGATTTCATGAAAGAAATATTAAAAGATCGGTGTAAACTTTGTGGCATGTGTACATTTAGTGATTCATCTTTGCTGCTTTTATTTGTTGCTTTGATACAATTAAGAACAACTGGTTCTTAATTGTTCTTACTTAAATGGTAAACTGTAAAACTGGGTTCCTTTCAAATCTGATTAGTTTCAGATAGATCTTAAACAGTCTTATGTTTTTATTAAATGCAGTCTCAGACTTGAAAAGGCTTAAATCACACCAGTGTTGCATATTTGTTCATAAATAGGTTCTTCAATTGACTGTTTTCTTCTTCTTTGTTATTAATTTGGACCAAATTTTAGATCTGGCTGATCAATTCAGGGCAGCATCAGCTTTATTAGGAGATATTTAACTGGAAATATTCAACCCTCTCTGCAATCTCTGTCTTGTAAAAATCTTGATGGTTTGTCACAGGGAAACATTAACCCCAAATCATCTCATTTCCTTAAAATTGACTTTAATTAGTTGCAATTAAAATTTGTTCTACTTCTGTTTTAAAAATAAAATCATGTTGACTTTTAAACTCCTGGTTGTTTTTAAGAATTGAGGGGGTAATTAAAAGGTGTAACGTTTCCAGAGTAGGTCCAATCAAATGATTGGATTCGATTTTTTTTTCAAATTCCAACAAAAATATCACCACACGCAATAGTTGAAGTGCGTTGCTCTGAAATGGCGAAGTAAGGTGAGATGACCTCCCGCTTTCCGTAGGACTGGACCTTTCCATATTCACATTTCGAGCGATCGACTGCAATATTTAAATAAATTTCCTAAATCACTCCTATTTTTAAAACATCTTTCTAGGCTTTGACTGCACATTATTTTTAAAATATATGAGGTTTTATTTAAGCTGCGAATTTCAAGAGTTTCCCTCTCTTCCCCACCTTTCAAATGTTCCGCTAGTCCCCCCGGTGTTTGCGGAATGGTTCCGTCCGGAGCTCGAACTGTTTAGCGGGAAGCCGCTACTCCAGGTCGAGCTAACGGCGTCAACAAAACACTAAAGAAAGTGAGGTGAGGACATGACACCGATCCGCCGAAGCGGTTTGGTTTTGTTTTATGTCATAATATGTCCACTTTTTGTTGTTCGAAAACTCGGTAATAAAAATACTGAAGCCGTTAATAGAAAAATAATGCTCTGTTTCTCTCATATTAGGATTGAATACGTTTTGTTACAGAACGTCACGACATTAAGGTTAGCATATAATATGTAACTTAAATGTTTAGTTAAAGCTGGAACGGGTTATTCGACCCGGTACCGAGTCACATTTATTTAGTTTACTAAGCTGAGATTTCAATGACTATTAACGCCATTAGAGGGCGCTCTAATTCACAAGCCGTGAAAGAAAAGGCTGTCAGTGGGACGGTCCAACCAGCTGCTTGGTCCGGAAGTTAAGGTTCAGAAAGTGAAAATATTATAAATAATGTGTATTTATTATTACTAATATGGTTGACAAAGTGTTTCACAATAAAGTTGCTCTAAAATGGTGTTATAGTAATCCAATCCAGGTCACTTAAAATTAACCTGCAGATGATTAAATGCAGCTGGATCCTTGTAAAGCAGAGAGACATTTGTTCGGTTGATGACCTTTTAAAACTGAAAGCTGCCTTTTCTATAATTTATTATTATTGTTATGTTCACTTTTAAGGCATCGTTGCAAGCACAATTTCTCTTCAAAATGGGTTTAGATTTCATAGGCCTGTTTTAAAATTACTTCATTTTTATTTGCAAACTCTTTCAGTAGGTTAACAGAAACTTAAGAAATTAGATGATCAACCTAAACATGTCTTCTGTTATTTGCTGACTTTCAAAAAACTGGATTTGCATTATGAAGACACTTTCAGTTGGTGTTTGAAGTGAAAAATGATTACTCAGTTTTGCTACATTTAATGATTAGAAAAATCTGATTCTTTGGTGTTTGACTTGGAAACTTGTCCATTTCATTGGCGCAACAAGTAAACATGAAGCACTCTGTAGCCTTAGAAAGCACAATTAAATAAATTTAGATCACGGCAGATTGTTGAAGCTGTAAAATTAAGGCACGTCTCTGTTTTCTCGTTCCTGCGGCGCCAGAAAGAGCCGAGGGACCAAAGTGCCTCCGGGCCAGAAGCTCGAGAGCCAGGTGAGTTTGTCCCTAAACGCTGTCTTATCAAACTGTAAACCTGAATTATAAACCTGTCGTTTATGTCCTAACTAGATGGAGTCCACCAGTCCGTCTGCTGTGGACCAAGCCAGCTTCTTTGAAGGACTGGAGCGGAATGACAGTGGGTGTCCCCCCATGTTACTGAACCAACAAATTCAACCCATTTTCCCAAATTCGTGTGTGAAATTAGTTTTGTTTACCCATTGAAAGCCAAACCTTTATCGGATCTGTTCCCTAGGCAACCCTCTTCACAGCACTGCCTTGGAGGAGCACTTGGATGTCCAGGAGGAGGGACAGTTGGACAAAAACCGAGGTCAAAGAGGAAAAATTGCTCCTGTGGAAAAGCAGGGAGCTGCTGCGAAGAGAAAAGTCTCAGTAGGCGAGGATGAGGAGAGGAAGAAGAAGAGCAGGACTGATACAGGAGGGAAGGGAAGAGCCAGGTAACGTTCGGCGCTTTGTTCCTGTATTCCACATCATTTTGGCAACAGTTCAGATCTGTTGCTCATCGGCCAACAATCAGGCAACAAAAGGGAGCAGCACAAAGGCAGCCGGGCGAGACAGCGGAGAGGTCCAAAACGACCCAGTCCACGACCAGCCGGCGTCTGAGTGGGAAGAAGCCTGTTGCGATGAGGAAGGCCCCGGGAAGGACGTCTGCTGGAAGGTCAGAGCGCTAACGGAAAGACTCCTCTAGACTAGCCAGCAGCAAATAGCAAACACCTGGTGTAACTGAACATCTGCTGGGCTTTTCATATGAGCTACTTCTCAGTGCAGTGTTGGTAAAAACGTTGTTAAAGGGTCAATAGAGGAGCCATGTTGCGATGTCTTCCTGAAGGCGGAATCTTTCCCTTCCAGACCGGCACAGAGGCAGCAGCTGGAGGAGGAGGGCGAGACGGCGAGCGAATCAGCTGACGAGAGGACTTCAGAGTCTGAGGTAAAGATTGTTAGAAGACGATATTTGAAAGCAGGATCGGTGAGGGAAAGTTGACAGGAAAGTTGAAAATATCACTTGATAATTGTGTGGTTTTGGAAGACTGGAAGATCAATACCTGAACAGCAACTACAAAATGCTAACATTTTAAATAAGCAATGCTGAGCCTGGTGGGGGGCACAAGTAAAGCCTGGTGGCCCGCCAGGCTTATGATGGACAGGGGGAAAACCCTGACAAACACAGAACCTCTCCACATTTCTACAAAAGTTTTGTGTTGGTACATTAAAAATGACAGAGTCTGGAGAATAAATGCTGTTCACACAACTTATTTATTTATTTTTTTTGTCTCTCCAGGAGGAGTCTGACTCTGATGGAGCTCGGAGGAATCGCAGGAGGAACAGCAGGAAGCTCCCTTCCTCTGATGAGGAAAATGATGAAGGCAGCGTTTGGGTATGAATCCATGTTCTGCCTGAAAGCAGCAGCATGACGTTCGTATGACCGTTTCCATTTTTTGCTTGTCATTTTCCAGCATCCGAGTCCAGTGACGACTAAACGCCTGAGTAAACAGCTCAGTTTGGGAAGAAAGTCCTCATCAGATAAGAGTATGTTGAAGATTTTCAAGTAAAAACCAAACATGTTTCCAAGCTCCAGTGTGCTCGTATTGAGCTGTAGATGTGAATATTTGCAGCTAAAGATGCCAGAGCTGTCGGCGGCCGGGGAGGATCCCAGTTAGAGGTGGTGCTGGATGCCGTGCTGGATTTCTGCCAGCAGTACAGGTAAAATTGCCCACATGCCGCAACCTGCAAACCAACTCTTTCACTTTGCATCAAGAGCCTCTTTCACTTCTTTTGTGCACCGGTTTCCAGCGAGACGGTGGAGTCGGCGGGAGTCAGAGAGTCTGTCGGTTGTTTCGCCAACAACGTGAAGGCTCATCTGGAGGAACAGGTTCGCCCTGCGACATCGCTTCTCCATCACACGCGCAAACACTTTGGCACGCAGTCTCAAAGACTAAACACGATGTCACGATTAATCCCCAATAAATCTGAAAATGTGACTCTTGTTTGAAAATACCAGATGCATTCTTTGAGTTTCTTTTCTTCCTCAGATCTCATCTCTGAAGGACTTCCGGTCTTTGAAAAGAGAGAACATAAAGGTAACATTCATGCTTCTGCAGCGTGACATCCAGCAACTCCAGGTAGTGGCTAGCTGCTAGCCGCTAGCATCTAGAGGGAGGCTTGCTGGTGACAAGCTGATCGGTTCTTTGCGGCTTCTGTTTCGGCAGGTGGGCTCTCTGATTCGAACGAAGACTCGGAGACTGTTGAACGCCAAACACGAGCTAACGAGGTAAACATCTAATAATTAGATTTTTTCTCCATGTGTCGTTTTTGAAGGGACGTTGTGCACAGTGTTGGAGTTTGTGAATTCCTCTTGTCGGGGTTTGGTCATGCAGGGCAGAGAGGCAGCTGTGGCTGCTGGAGAAGGAGAAAGCGGAGCTCCAGCAGAGACTAGTCGATCTCAGAAGAGGCAGAGCGTTCCTCCGCGACGTCAGGGAGCTGACCACGCGTTACCTGGCCTACAGACGCAAGCACCCCGCTGAGAAAGAGACGGTAGAAACGCAGCGGGATGCTGACGATAGACGGCGAGATTTAGATACTTTCTGTGAAAACGGTGACCACCACATTTGTATCCCCGGTGGTGAAGACGTCAGCTGTCAAGACTGTCGTATTCTCACTCTGAAATGTTTAGGTTGTAATTATTAGGAGTACTAGAAAACAGTTGTCAAATAATGCATCTTTGCTTTGTTCTCTTTTTCACCCTTGTCCTACTGAAACATTCAGTTTTGGATTATACTTCTGTGATAATAATAAAAAAAATTAATAGAGGGCGTTTTACCCATTAAGGCCGGTTGCCGAAGAGTTAAGCATTCACTAGATTTTTGTGTTCATCAGAAGGAACAATTTTATATTTAGTTGCCTTTTATATCATAATGGATTATCATATTTGAGGCATAAGTGATGGGACATTTTATTTCTTTTGTTGCAGTTTGGAGCATCCAGTTTACCGGCTCTGTTGTTGGAAACAAAGCTGATTCAGAGACCAGTTCATCCTCCCAGTCAAGTCCAGGCTAAGAAGACGGCTCGCAAATAATGAGCATTTTTTGTATGTAACTATAATGTAAGATAAACATGTTCAATAAATGCGGCTTTTCAATATGTTTCAGTGGATTTAGTATGATTAATTATATCAGTACTGGTGACATAAGAATATAGAGAATATAGAGGTGAAATGACTTGAAACTACTCGGTTAAATCAAGGTTAACCGCGAGCGCTTAGTCAGCCAATCAGCTTCTGTCCGTCCCTTTTTTTTCACAGCCAATCAGAGATGCAGCGTCTCTGATTTGCTGAAAGTCAGGTTTATACCCTCGAGAAAAGAACAACTATATTTTGTCTTTAAGTTCACACACATTCTATATAGCGCTTCTACCACGCGTCTCTGCAAAAGGTAGGTTCAAGGTGACTATCGTGAGCGTGTTGTTGTTGTCGACGGTAAAGAGCCGGAAACCTCTGAGGTGTTTAGTCGCGTGTGGTCCAGCTGTATCGATAAGGTGGGTGTTCCAGACAGTTTGGTACAGCAGCAGAACACAGGAAGTCTTTTGGGTGCCTGGCTCCTCGCGAGGAATTAACAAATGACCTGTTAACAAATGACCTATTAATAAATGACCTGTTAATTGTCGCTTGTTCCAGTATGACGTCGAAAGATAGTCACGTTAATGGTTCCCCGAATGTTATCCAATCGTTTACTGTAAACTGGGCTTGGTGTGATTACGCAGCTATAAAGTGATTCATACCTGTTGGATAAATTATTTTCATTTTCGTTTTTTTTTTTTTTTTTTTTTTTTTTTACTTAGCATTTGCTGTATATATAGAGCTGTGAACGCCGAGTGTTTAAATAGTAGCTACTTTGACTTTGAGCCTTGAAAAAATTCAGAGCAACACATTCAACGTTTGTTTCAGCTGAACAAATGCGTGACGAAAAAAAGCCTCTGCTCTGTAGAGCGGACACAGGAACTGCACTGTGTCCGCAGCCTGTGTCTGGTTTTAAAGGTTCATGTTCCTGAACTGAAATTCTGGAGCTGATCTGCAGATTACAGATTAAACTCCTTGTCACGTCAATGACTCATGTTCCTACAAAAACACCTGGTAACTTAAAAACAAACGATCTTCTGCAGGGATAAGATAAGACCACTGCGGCTACCTGGCTGAATGATCCGTGTTTAAATGTGTTCAGACACACAAAGATGTAAGCAGGTTAGAGGCAAAAAGAGCCTCAAAAGCTGTTTGCTGGTTTACATCTTCCTATTTGGTTTTCTACAAGCGATTGACAAACACAAATAGGGCCCTGTTGTGAAGCAGGAGGAGAAAGCTACAGTTTTCAAACATATTTTTGGCATGGGAAACATCTGAAAAGTGTGGCGTGAGCTTGTATTCGGACCACTCCCAAATGACTCATTTGTAAAAGCACTTTTTTGCTGTAAGAACACCGACGTCTAAAGTTTTCTGGGGTATGCTTCTCGCAGATTCTTCTTCTTTTTTTTTTAACTTCTCTCGAGTTCAAACTGGATGGAGAACGTCTGTGAACAATATTTTTTTTCTAAGTCTTGTCTGTAGTGGATCTTGATCTGGGCTTTGACTGGACCTTTCTAACACGAGGTCTTAAAATCCACATGTGTCTAGCGGGAATCTGCAGGACCTGCTGGCTGCATTTATAATGACATCAGTGAACACACACAGAGGGACTTTGAGCTTTTGACATTAAACCGTCGGCTTCACTGGGTTTTATTGAGGTCTTTCAAAGCAAAAGGGAATAAACACATAATGCATATTACTGATCTGTTTTATATATTCACTGTATAAGTTCACTAAATAATTAATAAGAGATCATTTGCACCAGGTTTATGTTAAACTTGTTTCTATTATGTGTAGTTTAATGGTCTTCTACATTGTCAGATGAAACCCGGTGAAGTTTGTCCGGAACATTCTGCTTCAGAAGACACAAGGGAAATTTTCTCCGTTTCCAAGACAGTTCCACTCGAGTGATTCTAAAAATCGCTGCTTCTCAGCAGGAAATAAGACTCCTAGATGTTGTCCCTTATCTTCTGCTCTGATTTCTCCTTTGCTGATTATTTTTGTCTGCTGATGTCTGTAGGAACATGGCGGAGAATGGCAAACACAGAGACCAGGCTAAAGACACCGTGGACGCCTCTAAATTCTCTCTGAAAAGGTAGCGACTGTTTCTTTGTTTTGTTTCTGGTGTTTTTTCCAGGCCTCTCTCCCCTTTATGAACGTAAACTGCTATCAGTGCCAGTTCATCCTGCTTTCCACAGAAACCAAGTTCGACTGATAGGGAACTTTTTATATCCAGCTTCTGTTCATGTTAAACTAGGTTGAAAGCCATTTCCACTTTTGTCATATCATTATTATTTAGTGTTTTTTTATTTTTTATTTTGTGGGCTCTAGTGTCCCTTATATGAAAGTAGGCTGACAGGAATGGGGGCAAAGAGAGGTGAGAAGACAAATATGGTCGGGTCTGGGAATCAAACCTGCGACGGCCGCGTCGAGAACTCAAGGCCTCCAAACGTGGATTGCGTGATCCCCTAAGGCACCACAGCATGTGGTGATGCACAAGTACTTCTGGTTTGAGTGAAACAGCCTCAGGAGTCTTTGTGTGTTTCCATGTGTGCAGCAGCAGCAGCACAGCTCCAGCAGCAGCTGATGATGATAACAGCTCAGGTTCTCCCTCTGACCTTTTCTGCTACCGAATGGACTATCCCTGCATGGGCGTCTGCCTCATTATCAACAACAAGAACTTCCACAAAAACACTGGTAGGATATAGATCATGTTTGTCACTAAAAAGGACACTGGTTCTTAAGTAATCACACTTTACCTTCATTTTTTATTTTGATTTTTTTTTTATTTTCAAAGTTTGATCCTAAAATAAAAATATTGAGCTATGATTATTTTTGTTCAGGTCTCACCAAAAGCTTAAATATAAATCAACTTTGAACAAGTTTTTATCTCTGATTAAAGCTGCCTTACTCATATTTTAGACCACAGATTATTTTTCTAAACTACTTCTGTTATCATTACAATTTATTTTTACTGTGTCAAGAAGTCAGGTTTTATTATGATCTTCTTATGTAAATGTCTTGTGTTGTGTGTGTTTATATATGTTGGTGTTATAGTTATCAGTTAATTATTTTTCTTCTCATTTATTCACCTAACTTGGACCTGCATGTTATTGTATCATTCAAGGCACACGGTTCACATAGATTGGTCAGTCAGATCTTTGAGGTTTTTGTTTTATTTAACATTTTTCCTCCTGTTTCTACTTTCTTAAACTCTTCACACTTGGCTTTGCTCATTGTTTTAACAACACGCTGCCCAGATATGGCCTCAGAGTCTCGGCACAAGTTGATTAATTACATTTGCTTCATCAATGAAGACAAAGAAATCCGATTTACCAGCCCGAGTCATTTAATGTATGAATTGAGCCAGAAATATGACATAAGAATAACTTCTCCTTAAAATGTTCGCTTTTAAAAAAAAATCTGCTTTCTTGAAACAAGATGGAAAAAGTAGTTAAAGATGTGTTAAAACATATACGTTTAATCTCATTTTATATTAATAGATATTTACTCTTGCTTGGATTCATTCATTTCTTTTTTTTTTTTTATCCTTTGCTCTAACGAAAGAAGCCTTCAATAAAATCCATCAAACACAATGTGTGTGTGAACTCACCCTGTTGTGGTGTGTTTGGAAATTCTGCGATTTTCAAAATGTCATGAAATGCAGGCCACAGATCTCACACTGGCTCCATCGAGCTGCTGTCCAGACGCTAAGCGGATTTCCTGTTTATCTTCCTTCAGGAATGAGCTGCCGAAATGGAACCGATGTTGACGCTGCTAATGTTGCTAAGACATTCACTAAACTGGGTTACAAGATCAGATTGTTGAATGACCAGACCATGGATGACATAATAAAACGGATGAAAGCAGGTAACTAAAGCTGATCAACTCCGATTCGTTTAAGTCACAAGAGGAATCGTTTTCATCAGGGTGTACTCTTGTGCCTCAGACTGACCAAAGTATCTTCTTCCATGTGTCCTGCATGTTCAGCTTTGTCAACTGTGCATCACAGGCCAGTGCTGAGTTGGTGGGAACATTTTAGACTGTAGCTTTGTTACAAAACAGCCACAAAGAAGCTGCTTCTCTTTACAGCAAACATGACAGACTAATGTTCTGTGTGGCTTATAAAACTTCTGCAATGTTTTTTACTCTGGTAGATCTCTCATCTGTCAGTGTGTGGTGTTGCCTTTTGTTCAAGGAATTGAGCTTAATCACAGTTCTGAACAAGGTGCTGGATCAGAGCAGCCTCCATGATCAGCTTCACCCACGAACCCTGGAGCACTTTGGTGAAGAAACGTGGATTTTCCAGCGTTCTTAACTTGTCACAAGTTAAGAGTGATAGCAAAGTGACTCAAAGAGCAGGATGCAGACATTCTTGACCTCCCAGATCTCAACCACACTGGGAACCTTGAGGTCACTTTTTAGAGAGGGGGGGTAGTGGTATGCACAGACATGTTGAGGCGCTAAAGTGGGAAGAAAGGATACCTTATGCGCCACATGGAACTGCTGGCTGACTTAAGGGTGTGAGATTTTTTTTACAAACGCAGCTTAAGCACCAATTATCGATCATCAGTAGCCAGATGTTGTCTGATGCAGATGTTTAGTTTTGTTCAGTACTTTACATGTTGGAAACAACAGAACAGAGTATATCTATACAACAGCGCAAAATATAAGTTCTTCTGCATGTAGTCAGTGTGATCGATGACAGAAACTGTCCTTAGATTCTTAGATGAACATCTACAAGCTCTGAGAAGTGATTTCAAATTTGTGTTGGACAGAATTACAAGAATGTGGGGCACTAGTAAGGATTTCTGGCTTTTATTTCCAGAAATGATACTTTGGGCACTATACACTGCAAATGATAACAAAAACAGAAATAAAAACTGTTTTTGTCCAGAGGAAAAAGAGCCAGGTGCTCTAGCATCCCTGGCAGAAGGAGACATTGAAGCAAATGATACGTTATGATCAGGATGGGTAACCAGTTGTCTGACTTTTGTTCATAAGCTGTTATCCACCACGTTGGAGTAAATTACTGCCTAATAAACGCTGTAAATATTGTTTCTGCACCATAAGCAGATTTGTGGCAAGCTTCTAAAAGGTTTAGTTGCTCTTCATTCTACCATAACTTAAAGAAACAGTCTTAAACACCCTGCTAAGTGTTAAACTTCTGTCAGACGCTGTCAATAGTTTATGCTTATGCCATAACAATAACACTGATGCACTGACAAAGAACTAAAATGGCAGAACAAGAATAATTTGCCGTCTATTGACTAACAGCATAGCTTCATCTTCCTGGTCTCGCTGGGCCACCTCATCCTGCCAGCAACGGCAAAATGTGACCGGTGCTACGATCAACGCTGACTCTAGGAAGAACCTCAAACTCTCATTTTACCAGACAATCAGACACAAATTCATCTGTATCTGATTGTTACGGATGAATTTGTAACAATCTACAGAGTTGTGGCTTGCAAATGATATTAATTAATATAATTTGGTTCACAAATATCCAGAAATGCCCTGGTGTAAGGGCTTGTGTCGCTCTGTGTGCAGTGGCTGAGGAGGACCACAGTCAGAACGCCTCGTTTGTGTGTGTGCTGCTCAGCCATGGAGACCAGGAGATGATTTACGGCACAGATCGGTCCGAAAAGCTTGAAAAGCTGATCAATTGCATCAAAGGACGTCATTGCATGAGTCTGGTGGGAAAACCAAAGCTCTTCTTCATACAGGTCAGCTACAGTTCATTAGCTGAAAATGCTATGCTTTGTGGGAGTTATCGTGGGAGTGTGGAGGGGGAATCGAGTGAATCTGATTGTTTTTCATCTCTCTCTTTCTTTCACCTCGTCGTTCTTCGCGTCCCAGGCGTGCAGAGGTACAGAGTTTGACGACGGCGTAGAGACGGACACCGCGGTAGACGAAACGTCTGAGAAGATTCCTGTGGAGGCAGACTTCATGTACGCGTACTCTAGTGCTCCAGGTAACTTAATCTCATTGAATTTCTCTTCAACTTTCTTACCTGAACCTCCCCTCTAACTCGTCACTCCACCTGACAGGCTATTACTCCTGGAGAAACACCACCAACGGCTCCTGGTTCATACAGTCACTGTGTGAAAGTCTGGCCGAGTACGGTGGAAAGCTGGAGCTGATGCAGATCATGACGCGAGTCAACCACAAGGTGGCGTTCCACTTTGAATCTTCTTCCAACTTGCCTGGATATAGTGGAAAAAAGCAAATCCCCTGTGTTGTGTCAATGCTGACCAAAGACTTTTACTTCTCAACTAAATGAATTCATAAAGTGTTCCCCTTTGGGATGTAGAACATACTTTCAAAGTATTTATTATTTTATTTAGAGTAGAAACAAAATTAGACTGTTTTTTTTTAAGATTTCAGAAAAATCACATCAATCATGTATTTTTTTTAAAAATAAACTATTAGGCCTATTGTGCAGAGGCGGTTCACCTTCAGGAGTAAAACCAACACGGCACAAGAACGTCAGACTAACAGTGAAATATGACGGTGGTTGTGTGATGGTACGGGCCAGTTTTGCTTCTTCAGAACCAGGACAACCTCCAGAATTTGATAGAATCATGAATGTTTGCTCTCTACCAAAGCATCCTGAAGGAGATTGACTGACCATCAGTTCTTACTGTTAAAACCTTTGGACACTATTATGAAGCAGGACAATGAGGAAAATGATGATGTACATTCAGGTCTTAGATTTGGGGCGCAATCACTGTTTCCACATCTATCACACGGAGGCGGGTTGGTCATGATAGTTTATTTTCCCTTTTAATAAATAAAATGATTTGAAAACGTGTATTTTGTTTTTACTCGGGTTATCTTTGTCGTTAAAATGTCTTTGTTTTCTCCAAATTATCGTAGAACTGCTTTCACTTTGATTAATGAACACAAGACGGTTATCGGCTTTAGCTGCTCAGGCTTTTTATGGTTTCCAGTGCGGTTTATTACAGCCTGCTGTAACTTTCCAGGTCCTTAAAGAGACATTCCCCCTGGTTTGATTACAATTTCAATCTGACTGCCAGAATTAACAGCCACTTAATAATTCTACTACTGATTTTAACACTGTAATAAACAGAAAATATCCTTTAAACTCTAGATCATTAGATAAATACTGTTAGATGGAGTCATAGGCAACTGTTTTCATTAAGATGTGTAGAGGGCAGTGGTTAATCCATCATGTCACATCTAAATCCTTTCAATAAGTTCAGCGCTAATCTCAAAGGAATTATCTTTCAACTCACAATTCCATGAACACAATTCCTAAGTTAGCTCATAACACATGTCAGAAGCATCTAGTTTTCCTAAAAAAACCTGTTGGGACTTGCAACATCCTGGAACACGCTTTCTTGGAACTCCAGCTGTTTGCCCTTTTTGTCTTCCTGGAACGGACTTGTTCTGAAAACAAATATTTCAGCTCTGAGTTGTTCCAGAAATATGACTCTTTTAGCATGTAGCGCAGCGTTTCAGCTGCCTTTCACATTAATCCAATAAATTATTTTTCCATTGTCGAGGAGATTTGGTGATTCCCTGTAAGAATGAGGCGGATGATTTAAGACAGTTGGTGAATCAAATAACATTGGAAGCCAGTTTTTCTTTGCTTGCTGTGTTTCTGAGCCAGAGGATGCTGTCATGTGTTCTGAGGCCCAATATAACAAGGTTCTCTTTCAGGTTTTCAATGGCTTTATTACGGTTTACTGGAATGAATCCATCATTTAAAATTGAAACATGGGAAAATGTTTCTATTTTTGCTGTTTGAACACCGTTGGAAGACGTGCTGTGATTTAACTAGTAACTTAAGGTAACATGAATATTTGGAAGCCTCCTCATGAGAGACTGATATAACTGACCTGCTGTGCATCTACCACTTTGAAAATCTTTATCCTTGTTTCCTATTCCTTTATTTGTTTTCAGGATCTCCATCTTTAGCTCATTGTCACCAGACAGCAACACAAATCAAATGAAGAAATAAATAAGTAGTGCGCCAGAAACAAACGTTCTGCCATCATCGTTCTGGCGCCCCTTCTCACCCAGCGCCCCCATGGGTAGGTCATACCCCTCTTTTTTTTTACGCCACTGCACTGCACTTGTCAATGTGTGTATGAAATGTGATTCAGAAGAATTTGCATTCCATGAGAAATCATAAATAAACAAATGAATAATCAATGTGAGCCTGCAGCCTCTAGAGGACGCTATTGGAAGTTTTAGAGCAGGTCTTCACTTGTTTCAGGAACAAGTGAAGTGAACAATATTTATAAATATATGTATATATATACACTTCCAGAATCCTCTTCACACACATTAACATGCCCTGTAAAAATCTGCACCTTTCCCAAATACTGTAAATAAATCCTCCTCTCCTAAATCAGCTTACATGACCAAACTTTTCCTGTTGACATTCAGACTGTGCCCAGAGCGTCGCCTGCAGAACATGCCTGGCACAAACAGATACTCCCTGCCTGTGGCGAACCAAGGGGTGAAGCAATACGGAGTGGATACCCAACACGTCCTGACACAGTCACTCTCTGTTCCTCAATGCAACATGTTGTTTTCTCTATAGTGGGAACAGAAATTATGTGTATTATCTACAATCCATATAAAATTCCCAGGAGTTCAAGCAAAATCTGCTTGGACTTCAAAACTTACATTTTCACCCGGTGAGATTCTAATCGAGCTTCCCTGTGGAAATCGCTTTGAGCATTGAAAAGAAGATAAAAATGAAAAAACAACAGCAACAACAAAGGAAACACTAGTAAGCAGAGTAGAGGGTCTGTGGTGCTCAGGGCCGGATTCTTTGTTCAAAAACCAAAAAATTGATAACATAAACCAAATCAGTTTTAAAATGGTTCATCAGACAACCTGGTCTTTCTTCCGGAACAATCTCAGCCCTTAAACCTAAACCGAAATCTTTTGGTGTAAACTGAGGAGAGGAGAGCAAAAAAGAGGACCCAGGATCTAAATGTGCAAAAAGGAATGACAATCTGTTTGTTCTCCAACTTTGTGAAATGTCATGGGTAATCAAGTAATGATCATATTGTTGTTGGAATCTCCTCATATATTAGGGAGCAATATTTGTGTAAGATTACTGGAATAAAATATGAAGCTATTTTAGATGACTATTTTTTTTAAATCAGGGATGCTAACAGCTTCATCGTTCATTCGAAAAGTTTTATGTATTCATTTAGAAATATTGCAAATCTGCTTTTGTGAAGTCTCAATGTTTGCATAAACTGCTCATCGCCAACATTTAAGACATTTGAAATTGAAATCTAAACATTGACTTTGTATTTTATGCATTTATTTTATACCAATTTTTTGTTTTGTTTTTAAATAATTCATTTTTTTGTTTTGTTTTTAAAAATGTTGCTGTTATTTTTTTCAACAGATTCATTTTCTTCAGCTGTACGCTTCATCTACATTCGGTTTCATAAAAAAAAAAAAAAGATGCATGAAACCCTTTTCTGGCCCTTTCCAACAGCAGCAACCACAGATGATTTTCAGTTGCGCACTCTGGAAAATAAAACCCAAATGCATTTTCTCAATAACTGCTGCAGCTGCTTGGCCTTGCACAAACCTATATGCACGGCTGTGAGAAGTTTCTAGTTTCGTTTCTGGCACCGGGCGCGTTAGAAAAAAGGGCTGCGGTGGGTACGTGTGAGAGGAGGGAGAATTGAGGAAGCGAAAATGAAATCCAGTTCAAAGATCGTCTATGTATATGATGATGGCTAAAGCCGGTTGAAATAAATATATGTATTTTTTATTAAAGTAAAAGATTTCCTTTGCTTGTATTTTTTGACAATTTATGCTTAAAACATGTAAATAAGATTTCGGAGAGCCCTTTGAGCAGAGCACGAATGTTCCCGGGAAGACATTTTCGACTTCGACGGCGACAACAACAGCGGAGATATAAATCGGAGTGAGCGCTCTTCGTACGTTTCTGGGGAGCGCGCAAAGGATCTTCCGCGACTCCGCTCGAGACCGAGCTGAAGCGAGAGCACGAGAGCTTGCAGGGGGATTTCCAGCACGCGCCCTGACTTCCCGAAGCAGTCGTTGTTTTGCTTTCGGTCTGAATGCAGAAACAGAAATAAACCACCGACACCATCTTTCTTTTTTTTTTTCTATATGCATTTTAAAGCGTCGAAGCCGCGCCGTTGTCCACCTCGAGCCCTGGGTTTTATTCTCCGACAGCGGCGCTGAGGAGCCACAGGCCGTCCAAACTGAGACGGTAACTGTTTTTATTTCCGCATATTAAAAGCCGTTGGGCTGCGTACACACAGTCACACGCAGCGACTTCCTACGGGACGACATGACAGCTCCTTAGCTCGCGCTGTAAGTGAAAGTACCCCAGTAGTTTTTGAGTCTTCGTTCGCCGGCGAGGTACTGGGTTTATTTTCACTTTTGGCTTCGTTGTTTTTGGGTCAGCTCGCTGGCAGGCAGCAGACAAACAGCGCGCTAAACTTTTGACCTCCGCTGCTAAATTCAACTTTACTTCAATAAACGTGTCCACAACCGCACAGAGCTGGCGCTCGGACAGCTAGCGTGTGCTGTAACTTTGAACACATTATGACTTAAATGCCCTTGTTTTTATGTCAGTTTTCCGTATCTAATTGTGTGTTGTTGTTTTTTTTGTTTACAGAGTTTGAGCTATGAGAAATAAAATGACTCTTGAATAGTAATAGCGTTATTTGCGAGAGCACCATGTTGGATTTCGCTTCGTTATTGCCAGGTTATTATATTTTCTGTGTGTTATATCCGTTGCCTGGGAGGAGAGCAGAACCTGATGGTGTGTTTTAGCCGCAGTGGAACAAAGGTCGTTTCAGCAGAGTTAAAATTTTACTAAAACATCTGAGAGTTTGTAGAAGTGTGTCTCACATGTTTGACCAGAAAGGAAAGTGATGCACAATAATTGTAAGTGTTAAAACCAATAAGGATCAGAGTAACACACACATACACACACTGGGGGGACTCAGCTGGATGTTCCAGGCCTGCTGCTGGTTAAAACAGCCTGGTGTGGAGCCATGTTACCTGGTTTGACCTTTTAGGGAGCTGTCTGTTATCAGAAGTGCCACATTAATGTGCAGCTGGGATCACTGGGGCCTGCTGGACTTTGATCATGTCGGGAACCATCATGAGCTTCAGGCCGGGGGAAATTGTCCTCCTCTGTTTTTTTTTTTAAGGAAACATTCTACATTTGTCGAATTGCCGCTTGAATTTTTGCCCAGCTTCCTGTTTTATTAGTTCCAAATATTATTATTATTATTTTTTTCTAGAACCAGATTTTCATTAACAAAAGTTTAAACCTGAGTCAAGTTTTATTTCTTTATTTAACATCTCTCATTTCCAAACTAAATGAAACAGAAATATGTATATTGTTCATCCATGTGACAAACTAGGTTTAGAAATAACATCTTTTGTTGTGAATCAGTAATTTGAAATGCACTGATGAGGATTCTTCTGGCCGTCATTGATTTGTGGTTTTCTTTTAGGTGAGCAGCCAGCTCTGATTGTGACCAGTTCCAATATTTGATGGGGGGAAAACAAAAAGTGTTCCAGGCTTTTTGAAATAAGTTATAGCTTTGGATCAAACAGGGAATGACAGGATTGCAAGATTACCCCTGTTTATACACTTAAACAGGCATTTAGAGCTACTTAAAGGACGATTAGCTGAGTTATAATCTCTGCCTGATTTAATTGATGCACCCCCAGTAATAATCATGGTACGCTGTCTCACTATTTGAGAAGAATAATTTAGATTTCGGTCAGTTCCAGCTGCCGCCTGTTAATACCTGTCATTGTTTGTGTCTCTTAGGTCACCATGCCTGTAGAAAGGATGAGGATGCGGCCGTGGCTGGAGGAACAGATCAACTCTTGTCAGATCCCAGGACTGAAATGGGTCAACAAAGTGAGTTGGTGTTTTTAATATTCTGGCGTCGACTCCATTCTGCGAAGTAAGATGCTGACAGGCCGCATTCATTTTCAGGAAAAGAGAATCTTCCAGATCCCGTGGATGCATGCGGCGCGTCACGGCTGGGACCTGGAGAAAGACGCGCCGCTCTTCATGCGATGGGCCATACACACTGGTAACTGGAGCACACTCTCACTGCTTCTCCTTTCCTGTGGCTTTCAGTCTCATGTCTGACCAAACAGCGATCTTAATTTTCTGCCACAAATCTGAGAAACTTTACGGTTAGGCAATGCTTATTGGTTTAGAAAAAAAAAACAAAGTAAAAGCCAATCAGTTTTCGACTCCAAACTGTGGAGGGAGGAGTCTCCTTCAGGCTTTAGTTTCGCAAGAGTGAAATGGGTTTTCTACTTGGACCTGAAAAGAATAGAATACACTTTTCAGTGCTTTCTGGCTCTGGTTAAGCAAGGAATGAGAAAAAAAAGGATTTTGGAAAATGGATTTTTGCTTCCAGACTTTATATTTTGAAAAATGAACTGAGTTTTTCCATTTAAATGCCACAAATGAATAAGGTTCTCTTCACATTCTTTTTTAATCCAAAATACCCTTACATGACCTTGCAGAAGTATTTCTTACCCTAGAAACTTTTCAGAATTTGTCAAATTATCATCTTAAGCATCCTTGTGTTCAGGGCCAGAGGTACAGGTATTAGGGGCGGAGGCATGGGAAACGTTTTGATGTCCTATTAACTAAAGAAAAGTTGTTTCATTAATGCAAATTACAATAAATTAAGTTTGGCCTATGCATAAACCAGGTATGAACTGGTGATACCAGCTGGTGATGATAGGTGTAACACGTCACTTGGCCAGTTGCTCCATTTTGTTCCCAAATAAAAAAATAGAAATATTTTCACTTCATTTTCAAATACATGAGTATTGATTCTACTCATAAAAATCCTAAAAACATTATTACAGCTCATCTCATGTAGGCCTATGATTGTTACATAAAGTAGAATTTTTGCAAAGCATGCATTAATTATATAAAAAATTAAAAAAATGAAAATCTGTCTTCACACCCCAAAAATTACAGCCCTGGGTTACTGCCCATGTAAAACATTTTCTAAAGTCCAACCCAGTGTGTTTTATTTAGATATAACAGAAATAGACAGTGCAACACCCTGTGCACTCAATGAAATACTGTGGCTTTGACGCTTTTCATCGCACTATTAAATCAGAAGTTCTACATGCACGCCACACTTTTCAGGTTTATTTCAGAAAACAATAAATGCTGTGAATCGTATATTTTTTCTTCTTCTAATTTGACAAGTTCTGTCCTCACCTGGCACATAAAATCCCACTGAATATATGTTCCTTTGGTTTTAACGTAATAATATGACAAATTTTATCATAAAATGAGAAGTATTCAAAGTGTTCTGGACACACAATGTTGTAGTTGCATCCTTTTCACGTTGAAATAATAATAAAAAAAGAAACTCAAGCTAACCCTGCTATAATAATAAACACACTAATTCATTCTTTGGTATTTCTCTTAATGTCCGTCTGCAGGTAAATATCAGCCCGGCGTGGACCGGCCCGACCCAAAGACCTGGAAGGCCAACTTCCGCTGCGCCATGAACAGCCTGCCTGACATCGAGGAGGTGAAGGACAAAAGTATCAAGAAAGGAACCAACGCCTTCAGAGTGTACAAGATGCTCTCGTCCACAGAGAGGAGCTTGAAGAAAGGTGAGCTGCGCTCGTTCCTCCTCTGCTGTTTTACTCCTGGATTTGACTCAAAACATGTTTTCTGAATCCTCCCTCTGATCTGTGTCTCCTCGCAGGAAAGAAGAAGGCTGACAAGGAGGGAAAGTCCAAAGGAAGCAAAGAGGTAGGAAAACCTTTGGGTCTTTTGATCCTCACTCTTTGTAAACTTTAACCCAGGCCTGATAATAAACTGGTCTTCACAGTCCAGTTTGGCGGCATTGCCGAAATGCCTTACCTATGAGGCGTTTTGCATTGCCTCAACTCCTGCCAATACGGAGAAAAACGCTTCTGGAAAGCTTCGTCAGGTCAGAGTGAAGAGGGTGGAGTGAAGGAGGGAACGGCTGAGTTGGAACAATCAGGTCTCCTTCCTGTTCCCACATGATGCAGAATTGCTCTGTGTTGGATCAGATAAGAGAGTAGCTCACAGTGGGAGGGATCGAGTGCTCTCTCTGGGTGGGTGATGGTCGAGGCATGCCTGCTTTGTTGTTGCAGCTCCCAACTGGAGGTGCAAAAATCCAGCTGTTCCTCCTGCAGATGCAGGTCTCAAAATGTGTTGAGTGGAATCACTGGAGAGGTGTCTGGAAGTCGTCCGTGTTCATCGCTGCAGTCGGAGAATATTACAGTCTGCAGCACAGTACCGGCTCAAAATAAACTTCACTTTTATATTTACATTTTATGTCATACGCTGAGTGCAAAACACATTCTCAAAGATCAAAGATAAGTAAAGTCTTCCATTGGAACAGGAAAATATCAACAAAAAAACAACAAATAAATTGAATTATTTTGTCTGGAAGCAAAATTGTCCTTCATAAAAATGGCTGCTTGAGATCAAAGCAACCGACTATAGAGTTCTGTCATCCAGTTTTTAGTTGAAAAAGAGAAAAATGAGAAATGCAAATGGAAATTATTGTGCTAGTTTTCACTTATTATGCGATTAATTGATTTGGTGCTTATTGTGTCAGGCCTAGATACACACCGATTGCAATTTACTGGCCGATTCCCGATATTTGTGTTGCATTAGTTGTTGTACTCCTACTTGCAGAAGTGAAAATTGTGTATTGGTGTATTTAAATGGGCTGTACAGGTACAGAGTTATCATATACATTTATAATTCAGAACATTTATGTCTGCTTTTAAAAAAACAAACAAGAATCTTTTTTTAGTCAATTCAGCACTGTTTTTCTATGTTGGATCGGTATCAGCTGATGCTAAACCTCAGATACTGGTATCTATATCAGATAAAAGCGGATCAGTGCATTGCATCTTTATATGCTGCATTTTTCAGTTATGTTTAGCTCCATCCAACCTCTCCTCTTCCTTTGCCCCTCAGGGAGCCGCTCTGTCTCCAAATACGACTTTTTCTGAAGCCCACCCCGGACCCGTCGACTGTTCCAAGCAGCTCGCGCTCAAAGTAGAGGCCCGGGACCTCATAGTGACCAACAGTGGATCAGGTACTGTCAGTGTGTTTTGTGTCGCCCTGCACCACAGGAGTGCGCCGGACTCCCTCTTGTTTACGCTCTGTGTGTGTGTGTGTGACCCGCAGCGCTCCACAGTCCGGCCGGGGACCACCTGGTCCACTGCGAGCAGCTGCCGGACGTGTGCCAGACCATCGAGGTGACCACTGAGAACGAGGAGCAGACCGTTAGCTCCTCCCACTCGTACCCACTGCAGATCTCTCCTGTATCTTCATGCTGTGGTGAGATACCACACACACAAACACATCCTCTTAACCACAGCATGTTACGAGGAACAAAAAAAGCCTAAATAATGCACCTACGGGCTCCTGACCACATGGGAACCTCTTTTACATCATTGTGGTTTCAATACAGAGGATTGGCTTTCCTCAACTCTGTATCTGATCGGCTGTTTCTGTTCTTCCTGAGCAGTCAAAAAACAAACCCTGTGGTTCAGATGCTAAACGGTTAGCATCAGTCTGCCCAAACCAGCTGGATGGGTGAAAATAGAGGGATAGGCCTCGTTATCAACCCAACAACTTCCAGAACATTTTGGTAGTTTATTTATTTTTTAATCTCTGGTTATATAAAAGCAGATAACTGCTCCTCTTTTCCAGCTACTAGCTGGTTTATCTCATGTGTTTGTGACCCGTCATTCAGGCCAAGCTCGATCTATGGGTGTCAGCTCTGCTTGCTTGTGTGTGTTTATATGCACAGCTAACATTCAGAGTTGTGTGTAGCAGCAGTGTGTGCGCTTGTGTGTGTTGGGGCCGGGGGATGGGGAGTAATTGTCAGGCCTGCATGTGTGGTTTTACCTCCGTTTTCCTGTCTTCTCTGACTGCAGGCAGCGACACAGAGAGCGACACAGAAGACAACAAAGAGGTGGGTCTGACACTTAACGCACGCACGCATGCACACACACACACACACACACACACACACACACACACACACACACACACACACACACACACACACACACACACACACACACACACACACACACACACACACACACACACACACACACACACACCAAAGAGCGCTGAATGAATCAGCAGCTGGACCAGTTTTCAGATAAACAGGTTTTTACCTGCTCAAAAAGGGTGTGTGTGTGTGTGTGTGTGTGTGTATGCATCATGAGGTTTAGGAGCCTTGGCCCTGACTGTGATGAGAGTTTGTGGTGCATCTCAGAATCTCAAACAACTGTTTTATTATTACGTGTTGAGTTAGGTGTGTGTGTGTTGCTTCCTGTAAGGTTGCAAAAGAGTGAGAAAAGGGAGGGCTCTGTCAGGAACCTTTGCAGTCAAACATTAACAGTTTGATCTCCGCTTGTCCTTTTGTCTCTCACCACATGCTAACAAGCTGTTCTGTCCTGAGCCGCAACACAGGAATTCACCTGCACTTCCACGCAGAGGAGATGCTCTTTTAGCTCATTTCACACACACTACTGATGGCTAAATATTTACACAGAGTCACACGTCGATTCAACAGCAAGGACTGTTTAGCTGCTTTATGTGTGATGTTGCAATAGTATTACCACACCTTGGACTTTCCTGCATTATGTTTCAGCACATTTCAGTGGGACAAAACAAGCTGGCATTTTATGAGGAAATAAACACATATCTAAAAAGTGTACTTGGCCCTCTCTACTTTAATACAGCAAACTAAAATTCAGCACAGTCATGTATCCCCAGCTTTTATCATCTCACAGATAGGCTTGTCAGAATAACGCATTTTGCAATATTGTCATTTTTTGATACTATGTTCAACTTTCACAGTGATGGTGATATATTAATGCGAGTGCAACGTCTCAGAGATCAAACAACTTTAATTTCTAAAGAAACCTTTAACACTGGAACTGACAAACAGCTTAAACATCCAAAATAAATGAATAAAGCAGCTGAAACAAGATTATGAAGTCTCCATTACCAAAAGTGATTTTCAAAATATATCATTCAGCTTTGACAGGAAAACAGGCAAAAGGGGCAGGTAATGCAAACCACCACCTTGGTACTGGGTGCCAAATGCTTCTCAAAATGGTGGCTTTTCAACAGTGTTGAAGGGGAGCATGTCTTTGACAATTGATAAATAATTTTAATTAATCATGCGATTATTTGATGTATTGCTTATTGTGACAGACTAACTCACAGAGAAAGATTCAGTCCAAACTTACAGCAGACATCCCCCTCCTTTGTTGGGACTTTTCAAATTTGTGAGTGGCAAAGGAATGCTCTCCCAGGGGAGGTTAGTTACATGTTAATCATCCTACATGAGAAACTGATCTTATCTACCAATTTTATCTGTCTATACAAAGGTCTGTAAATCAGCCACTGTCCCCCTTTGTTCTGCTGTGAGAGAGTTGACCTGCCCACCAGGTCAGGTCTGAACGTATCTGGTTAACAATACTCACCTCACCCTAACTTGTCGCTATATTTAGCAAAGTTTCAGACAAAAAATTGGCATCGGCCAAAGTTGGAGGGTGTAATTGATGCACCCTTGCTACGGTTCAAATGAGACCAAATCTAACTTCAGTGTGCAAAATGCTAATCATGGAAGCAAACTTGGACCATTAACACTATTCCCACAGTAAGTCTTGATAGAATACACTTCATTTATAAAATTAACTTTGAAAACCACGTTATGGTGCTACTTAACAATAATAGAGGACTTTTTATTCCTTCCTGTAAAGACTCCTTACAATACATGATAAAATGTGAAAAAGTCCAAGGCTGATGAACACTTTGCTATGCAGCTCAGCCCCAGGTTCACTTCAGTTTGCATCAGAAATTGTCCACGATGTGTAGGTCATTTTTTTTAATGATCCTCCTTCTTCTCCTTGTTCCCACCGACAGGCTCTCGGTCAGACGTGGAAGAAGGAATACCAGTCGGTCCTCAGAATCCCGCCGTGCTCTCTCCCCGGCATGGCTTCGTTCGTCAACCCGAGCAAACCCAACTTCCGGGTCACCAGCCTGAAGGACCCTTCGCCCCTCATCAGCTACCACATCGACAGTTGGACGCCGGCCTGCGGCCAGAACTCTCACACGCCCCCGTCGAGCAGCCACGCTCACGAGGTGCGTGCAAGCGTCATTAGGAAAACCTCGGACGTCACTTCCTCCTGACCCCTGACCTCGGATGAAGGGGATAGGGGGAAGAACAGTCGCTTCTGGAGAACATGTTGGCTACGTCGGAGCCTAAAACACCTGTGTGGATCTTCAGTTCTCTTAGTTTTCCCTTTCGGCCGACTGAAGCTTAGCTGGATGTATCGGTCCGCCAAGCGGTGAGCATTTGACCGTCACCTTGGGGGCCGGGTTTACAATCTGCAGACCACTTCCACCCGAGTGGGGACATGAGGACCATACCGACGCCCTCCGTGTGCCACCGGTGGAACATTTATGTGCAGCTTAAGTAGCTTTACACACCTTTTTAGTAGTGAAAGGTTCTCCACGTTTTTAAGACTTCGGCTTACCAAAGATTAGTTTAATTCAGTCCGTTAGTTTCTACAACCTAAATGTAGATGCAGCCTGTTTGCAATCATGTTCCTTAACGCCACGTTTAACCAAAGCAAGCACCTATCTACCAAGTTAAATGCTTTGCTGGAGACACATGGAACCGGTATGTGGCGTCAACATCCCAATCAGTTCAGGTCAGCAGATTAATTATCATCTATTTATACTCTCAATCACTGGCCCCACAGTGGACAGCAGCCCGCGTGGATCTGGCTCCTCAGGACACTGGACTCGCCATTACTACAGCGGGGGGACTAACACCGTCCTCCTGGTGTCCACAATGTACATAACTCTATAGTATGTGGGTTTTTGATTGCTTTAGCACCTTACAGGCAGCGCACTGGTTGGCGTGTGTGTGTTTGCGTGTGTGTTTGTGAGTCTTGAGAGAAACGGGGAGCAACGCTTTACTTGCAGATATGTGCCTTTTGATGTGCCCGATTCAAAGTAGGCATGGGCCTGTATGAGATTCTTAATCCTGATACAATGAGATCCTAAAATTTTGACAAAATAGAGGAATGACATGAGTTATGTTCAATATTATTTGAACCATTTTACTTCAGGCACCAAGAAGTTTGTTTCTGGTGGAAAATAAGATGGAACATAATAAAAACATGAAATGAAAACTTGACTCTGGTGACCGGCCCATGCTTACTTGAAGCTAGCTGTGCTTTAGCCTGCTAGTGGCAAACTCTACACCTCAGAAAGTCGCTCTTGTGCCTTTTTATAAATAAGATATGCATATGAATTTATTTCTTTGATTTTAATCCTCCCTGGGGGGAGGGGCAGTTTAATTTGAGCGCACAAATCTCCCATTTGCCCTGCACAGAGACTGAGCTGCACTGACAAAGCAGAAAGTACTCAGGAGTCATCGGCCCTGCTATGAGGAAACAGGATCCATTAAGGGTTGCTAACAGCTAGCAGGCTAAAGCGCAGCCAACAGGAAGACGGTGGAGCCACTGTGGGAACCAAACCCCCTCCCTCCAGAGTGTAACACTGGATTCACTAAGTCGTCATGGTGATTTTATTATTTTTTTTAAATATAAAGACTCACTGGATCAAAGGGGGTTGTTGCTTGCTTTACTGCAAAAATCTTTTCATACTTGTGCCTTTTTTTATTATTGTTATTACTCAATGACGGAAAAAGCTCGTTTCAGTCTGTAGATGCAGCTCGTGAATCCTGCCTGCATTATGTAATATTTAAAGCAAATTCTGCTAATAACTGAACTGAGAGCCGTCTGCTTTTTTTAAATTGTTTTTTTTTTTGTTTTGTTTGTTTTTGGAATCAGTTTAGCTATTTCAAGTGGACGCAGAAACGCACACAAGGTGTTTCCTGGTATTTAAAATGGGAATTAAAAAATGAGGAAATTGCTGGTCAGAAGAGCTGGCGTTAACAACAAAACTGTCTGAATGTCCACCGACTTGCATTGCCTTAACGGTAGCCTCGCAGCAACATCCTGCGTGCGCTTTTCCACAGATTTAGTTTCTTCCGCTTTATGTGGGTTAGAGACGAGCAGTGAAAGCTGACGGGTGTTTCTGTTGTCCAGAGTAATTTAGAGCCATTTAATCTCTTATCAGGAAGGAGTTGTCCTTCTTTATTTTCGGCAGCACACTCTCTTAGAGGATTATGTAACTATTTAGCTGAAAGGAAAAAAAAACAAACTACCATGAAAAAAAAAACAAATTACATTTGCTCTGCTTTTCATCCCGCCATCCGTCTGTAATGTTGTGAAATCTACATGTGAATCAACATGTTCAACTGAAAATAAAGTGTTTTTGTATTTATTCTGCGTTCGGTTGGATTTTTATGACCGTCACAACAGGGTTGGATTGCACTCATTTGTTTCATCTAGTATAGGCAGAAAGAGCAGAGTCCAGTTCTTTTTTCTTTTATAGCTGCTGAGCCTCAGAGAGCTCGTATATCTGTGGCTGTTAAGATAAAGGCAAAGTGACGGCTAGAGACTTTTTTGTTGGGAAACTGACCATTACTGCGGCTTGGGCTGGGACTCGACTTTGAGATAAGGATTAAAGGTTTTGCTGCTGAACTGTGCAAGTTAGCACCTGTAATGACTGAAACTGGATTAACCGGTATGAGTGGTTCAGGTATTTGTCAGATGAGGCCTCACTCTGCACACACACGCACACACACACACACACGCGCACACACACACACACACACACACACACACACACACACACACAGTCGCTTCATTCAGTTTATCCAGAGCTCTAACGTCTGTTTCAGTTTCAGTTGCTTTTCTCGGTTCTCACTCTGCTTCCTGTTTTTCTCAGGCCCCAGCGGATGGCTGGCCGGTTGCCTTGACAACTGCTAACCATATGCCATTAGTCATAGTAAACAGTCTCAGTTTGTCCACTTTTTTGTTGTTGTTTTCTTTAGGATATATGTCAAGCCCTTAATCTGGACTTCCAGAAGCATTGGCAGAATCTTGAAGTGTGCTCACTTGAACGTGTAGTCGATAGGAAAACCTTTTCATTTTCCTTCCTCCTAAGTTAAAACGGTTGTTTTGTTTGTTTCAATATTGGCATCTTTTTATAGAATGTCGCCATATTTACAAACATGTTTAAATGTTGCTTAAAAAAGAGGAAGAAACATCAAAACATAACTTTAAGGTACAAACAAAGTTAGTGCAATACAGCAAGCAGATGAAACAGGCATTTTAAAAAAAGGTGCTACACTGCTGCCATCTAATGTCCAGATTTAGAATTACAACCACTGGCCTACCATTACAATATCCAAGGTGTTCAGAAAGGTCGGTATGTTTAGGAAAAATCTCAAATTTATAGACACCATCCTGCTGGCTTCACCCGTGGTTCTCCACCCCATTCCACAATTTAAGTAAAAATACATGAAGTACATTTGTAAATCTTTCATCGGATATTTTCATGGGTAGTTTTCTAGCTGATCATTGAGCTTTAAAAAGATCCAGATTCTGATCTTGGCTTATACAAGTTTCTATTTTGAGTCTGAAAGGTTGCCAAATATAAAGCAATCAGTCAGTCAATGGCAGAGTGAAGGGGGTCAGTCACTGATTTTCAGTTCTCTGTGGAGACAGAAAAGATGGGTGGATATCAATGTTTCTCTCTCAACCAAATGAGTTTATGTTGGTCTCAACAGTCCACAGGACTTGGTTCCAGGGATCTTGTCCTCAGTCTGCTTGTCTTCAGCAGAGCGATTTGACGCAGTGTGTAGTGTATGGTCGAAACAGTGACGGACTCATTCTCTCGCTATTGCAGCATGCAGCAAACAGAAATCATTTTGGTGATTCTGACCAAAATCACCAAACGAGCCTAAAACAAAGAGACGTTTGTTCTGATTTGAAAATGTGTTTTTATTCATATATTTAGAGTATGTAAACTTCTGGTTTCAACTATAAGTAACTAGAATGTTAATCTGTCCCTTTAGACAATATTTAGTGAGTCGCCACTATATAATGATTTGTCATGGTTCCATTTGCTCATAAGGAAGCAAACCTGATTCTTTAGTTTTCATCCAGTTTCTGTAGAGTCAGCTGTCTTCATCGCTGTCCTTCTCTGTTCTGTTGCTGCAGAAGAAAAGAAGAAAGAAAAACTCTGGCTCTCATTACAAAGCTAAAGTAATGTCTGCCTTCAGGGTTTTCCTCTAGCTATGTTTTAATAGTGCACATTTTCAAACCAATTTGCAGTAATTTAAGCTGTTCCAACCACATTAACAAGGAAAAGACGTGAAGCTATTACTGCTGATCTAAATTGGCTTTACACCACGCCGACAGGACTGTATATTTCTCATGTCTCAACAGGAGAGTACTGGAGCAGATTCCTGTTTTCACATTTGCTTTGTTTAGTCCATCCTGGAGTCTTACAAGCAAATCGTGTCAGGACTTTTCACATTTATTCACAAACAAAACCCAGAAGACGATCAGAGTGGCTTGTGGCTCCAGAGGTGGATAAGAAGAAAAATTATTGAGGGATTTATTTAATAAAAAAATTGCCTTATTATAATCTAATACAAGCCCATATATAACCTAACATTTTTCAAAGATTGCAAAAATATCGATTCAGGTAATTTAATCATTTCTTATTTAATAAGGTTACTTCACTGCTGCCCAGTCAGGTTTTGATTCCCATGTTTGTTTTGATCAAGACAAACTGTCAACGTTGGTGAGATCGTCAGATATGCTCAGACAAAGACTAATTTTGACACGATTCAAAACAAGCAAAGTTCTCATGTGGGGTTCCTCAAGGCTCTGTTCTCAGGCCACTTTTATTTCTTTAGCTTCATGATTCCTCTACTTCAAATTATGGAGCATCACAACATCTCTTAATGTCTGTATGCTGATGATGCACAACTTTGGAGGTTAACACTGCTGACATTGTTATAATTTACTGCAGCTTATTAGTTCATTTTGGTCATATCTTAAATATGGATTTAAAATTTGGATGCTTGCATTTTTTTCCATTCCTGTCTGAAAACATTTCTGGTTTTAATGTTGTTTTCATTAGTTCTTCAGTGTAAAATGTGAACCGTACACATGAAACGACACTATTCAGATAAACTTACATCACCGTGTCTAGTGTTAGATGCTCTTTGTAAATTCAGTTTTCTGTAAAGTTTTGTTTGAAAAGCAAGCTGACAAACACACACATAAGATGGAGTGAGAATTCCCTTTTAAAACTTATTCTGTATGTTTTTGTTCCTTTTATTTTGGTCCAAGAAGGAATAGTATATTTTTTAAGTCCTGTTTCTCTTTTGGTGACTGATTGGTGGAGCTTTGTTTGTTAAATGAAGTTTTTCGGGAGCCTGATGAAGATGTGCTGGTCTGGGATATTTTTTTTTTTACGATGTATAATGAAAGCATATTTATTATTTATACCTTTTTTCTGAAAGCCTTGATTTCAACAGACAGGACACGATTGAAGCAAAGATACATCTGTTGAATGCAATTTTAACAGATTCTATTCCTTTTGATATATAAACATATTTTCTTTTTTTTTTTTTTTTAACTTTCATCTGCAGTGTGCTGTTTTCCCCCACTAGCTGAAAAAATATCTTGGAAGTAAAACAGTAATAATGTTTTACCCTCTCAATGCTGAGTGTCCTCCTTATGACCAGCAGAGGGCACTGTTACTCCATTTACTAGCAGAGCCACACGTCCTTTTTTTAATCGTTTGCTTTTGCTCTCTCTCTTTCAACATATCTGCTGTAAACATGCATTATCTGACTTTAAACTCCCACACGTTGTGTTTTTCAGAGCATAACTAAGCAATTCTCATCGTTGATGTGTATTATTCATATTAAAGTCTGTTTTATTTTGCACAGAAACGTTCAGTCTGCTGTGATTCAGAAACAGTTGTTCACATTGCACATTTTTAAGATGCATGTTGATGAAACCTGAAAACTCTGCAAGTCTCTGTCAGAAAACTTCAGGAGAAAAACTCAAACAATAGATGACCCGTATCCATTTCTACGTGGAAGCTCTTTGGTTTTTTCCCAGAGCGGAGCATCCTTGGACTACACCACTGCATTGCAGCGAAGGTGTTGCGCTGCGAGAAATCTGTGCCGTCGTTTGGAAAAGAAAGGTGGAAATGTCACTAATTGACCCCTGCGGTGGTGACTCCACTGAAGCTGTGTTGCACCAAAAAAAACCCCACACACACACAATTTAGGAAATAACCAGGTATGGTGAGTCACCGGCCAGCGAAGCCTGGTGTAAAAAGCCTGACTCAGAGGGAGACAGTGTGACACAGATGGGTGAGAGAAAAGTGAAACACAGGAGGAGGAAGGGGAGGAAGGGGAGGAAGACAGGGCGCTGAGGGGGAGCGACGGTGGAAAACAGACGGGTAGATAGAAAGTGTCACCAAGGGGTGAGTTAAATGACATTAATGATGCTGCGTTGGTGTGAAGTGGCTGTGAATCTCAACAGTCTTCTTCTTGCTACTTGTTACCATGGTTGCTGCTGCTGCTGCTGCTGACATCCCGATTGCAGATAATGAAGTCAGGTGCAGTGTGTGTGTGTGCGTGTGTGTGTGTGTGTGTGTGTGTGTGTGTGTGTGTGTGTGTGTGTGTAAGAGGTGAAAGAATGCAGAAGACGGGACTTTGAAGGCAGATAACTGAACCTTAAACCACCAAGTTGTTAAACACACACACACACACACACACACACACACACACACACACACACACACACACACACACACACCCACACACACACACACACACACACACACCACACACACACACACACACACACCCACACACATACACACACACACACACACACACACACACACACACACACACACACACACACACACACACACACACACACCTACACAAATACGTGTTTTTATGACTTTATGACTTCCATTAATTTTCTACAGTCTAACTCTTATCATTACGTACCTAACTCCTAACTCTAAAACATAATTTCTCCTCATGGGGACCAAGAAAATGCCCCCACATTGAGCAGTGGTCCCCATAACTCCACATTGTAGACGCAGATAGGTCCCCACAAAGATATAAAAACCTGGTTCTTACACACACGACTTTCAACTTACAGCTGGTTTGTCCGGATGAATTCCTGTTGTTCCACTCACCTAATCTATGTTACTTGTACTTGATGAAAAGCAAAAATCAAATGGGAATAAAAAGGGAACTTTTGAAATTCTGCTGCAACACCAGTTGACTATAACAAGCTTAAATTCAAGAAAAAAACAAAAAAACAACAACCTTGCGGTCTTCATGTAGCAAAGTGAAGCTTGACGCTCATAAAGGTTGACTAAACTTC